CACATGACTGACTTCCATCAAATGGCTAGTTTGCACTTGGTCTTGGAATCAGCACAGACATACAAAAAAAACACACGCACGAACACAGAAGTTGCACCTGAAATAATGATGAAAAGGCCACGCAGTGAATGGGAGCGAGTGAAGGAGACGCCACATGGTACAATTTGTGCGTACATAAAACACGCTGTAATTATGCAATTCATAAGAAAAAGAACCTAAATTACGCTGCTCATTGTTTAATTCATTGTCGTCCATTTTTTTTTGTTTCGTTAACTTTTCACATCTCTTTTTAAATTATATTCATCATCATTACGAACTTGAATTGTTGTTATTATTTCGTTAAAAAATGCGCGTGACCCTTTATTATTAAACAGTTTTTTTGCTGCTCGCTCTCTTTTGCTGCATTCGCTGTGGCTGCTGTTGTCGCTGTCGCTGTCGATTGCCAACGTTTCGTATGAAAAACTCCGTCAAATTACTGGTGAAACAAAAAAAAAAAATAACGTGAAAAAAATGTGATGTAAAAAAGGCTTCATCCGCTGTTTATCCAATATTAAACACGCGAAAGTCTAGATTGTTTGTATGGATTGACGAGATATAACATTGTTGTTGTATGAAGGATAAAGAAAAAATTCCCTGCGGCTTTTTTTTACTCGCTTCCATTCATACAGTGTGCGTTTGGCATTTGGCGTTGCACATATACTTACTTATTCGAGCAAAAAAAGAAATACACTCGATTACTTCGCGAGACTAGAATTGCATTTGCATATTTCTCTCGCTCTCCCTCTCGATGTGTACATCTCTCGATGTCAGAAACAACTCGCATTCGCAAAAGGAAAATCGCTAAAAATAATGAACGCAAAATAATTATATAATTTATTTAAAGAAAGAAGCAAAAAAAGAGCGAATCCGGTATTGAGAATGGTGAAATGAATGTGTTGGGTACTTGTTCACTGGTTTGAATAAACGGCACACAATCTCATGTGTGTGCGCGAGCTGATTTGTGTGAATGTGCGTTTCGTTTTTCAAATTCAATGAATACGATGAATGAATATACACAGTGAACTGATTTTTCACAATGAACACCAAACAAAACGCAACGCACATATTCGCGGAGAGGTGATTCACGAGGATGCAAACACTCTTTGACTTCAAACAACCGACCAATCATCATATGTGTATAAAATGCAAGCTGAAAAAAACAATTTGACAAGTACCTTTATTATTATTATAAGAGCACTGCTCCGATTATTTTAACTGCTTGGTTTGCATTTTTTTAGCCCCTGTTCATGCTGCTGATCGTCGCTGTCGAATATATTTCAAAAAAAACCCAGAGAGAAAACAATCTGAACGCGTTGGTTTTTCATACGAAGCCAACCAACCACTTTTGTTCGCGATCCGCGCTTTGTATGTGTGCGCACCGGAGACGTTTTTTTTTGTTTGTTCTGAAATTGTTAACTTTTCTGCGTGTCTCCTGCACCGCTACTTTTTCACCTCTCTTCTCCGTTTGCTGCAGGTTCGGTCGAATGCGTACTTGGATTTACATATATCGTTTTGATGAACACGCGAAAAACCGACACACATATGCGCACAAACCGGTACGAATAAGCGACGCGTGCACGCGATGTATTCAATGCAATAACAAATAATCTCCCTTTAAAATATCATAATAGCCATGTACCAAAGCTTGCCTTTTTTCAACCCGTGTTTTGCTTAATCATTTCAAGTCGCGCGTGTTTTTTTTTCGTCGCTCTTTATGAAGCAACTATCTTTTGTTCTCAATTTTTCTTTTATGCCCGATCGCTGTTTGGTTTGGCTCTTTCAATTTCAAATAAAAAAAATTAATTGTACAAAAGGCACAAGGAACGTCATTTGAACATACAACTGCAAATGAGGTTTATTTGACTTCTCCACTCTTTTTATGTGTGTGTTTGTGTGCGATTTGGCAGAGATCATTACAATACGAAATTATTATGAGGCACTTTGACTTCGACAGCAGGAAACCAAGAGATGAAGATGCGATGGTTTTTTTGCTTTCTCAGTTAGTTTTTGCGCTGTTTTTCGGCTGAAATGAAATTAAATTCTTTTCATTCCGAAGGCAGTGTTAAGCGTGCACAGAACAAAGTCAATGAACAAAAAGAACCAAACTTTTTTTTTGAACGATACTTGAATAATGTTTAATTGAATGATGACAGATTATTGGTATCATTGAATATATCCATTGTTGTAGTGTGTGTGCGTATCGGTTTGAATTTAATCATCGATTTTTAAAAAAATGAGGGAAATGACAACCGATTGATATAAAAAGAGTTTGTTCATGTTACTCTACATTTCTTTTAATTTTCGCATTTATATGAGGCTAATATCGACTCAATAATTTCTACTTGGTTTGACATTTTACACATGTGAAAACCTGTGAAATGTGTGTAAAATCTTTTCTACACACTTGGTCGATTCGATGTTGTTGCTGTTGATGCTTGTTTTTTTTTCTTCTCTCTATCATTTTGAGTCGAGTGCACAGCGAGGCCGAGATTTAAACTGGATATGTGTGTGCACAAATAACAACGTTACACAGGCGAATTCACTCGTCAAGCAGTCAGAGTTGTTGTCATCGTCATTATTCACATAAAAGTGCCTTTCATTTGATTGTGCAACGGATATAGCTATTGCCTGGTGATGTATTTTGTTCAAAAGCAAAACGCAAAATGAAGACGAGAATGAACGTTTAGATGGTGGTGTTTTTGCTCACCAGAGAAGTGAAAAGGATGGAAAGAGCAGAGAGAGAGAGAGAGAGAGATGGAGAAAAAAGAAGAACCGAATGAACCATTAGATGTAGAAAATATCCTCCATGGACGACAGGAAATCATCATACCATTACTCGTTGTCGTATGAAGTAATCGTATCTTTACGTTTTCTGTATTCGTTGCTAAGCCATTCAAATTCAATGTAAACCAATATCGCTATATGTTGTTACACCTACAAACGACGTTTTTCTCGCCACGCTCGAGAAATCATGTGCACTGCCACCCTCATCACCATCACCATACTATCACCATCAGCTCCACCGCCCATCTTCCACCATCGTCGCCATCATCATCGCCGTTTTCTCTCTGTCCATTGTCCGTGTACGATAGTTTTTGCACCTTTTTCGCTTCAAATCACCTATCGCTCCATCTTCTTATAAAATGTGTGCCGGTGCTCATGTGTGCTTATCAGCTCACCGAGCGCAAAGGGATTGGGCACAGAAAAAGCAAGAGAGAGAGAGAGAGAGAGAAAAGAAGAAAAAAACACACAACAAGCGACTGAAACGAGAGAATACTTACCAAACAGATAAAAAAAAACACGGTTGAATAAAGTGTATGCATACGTTAGCTGTATATCCTCGATATATCAGAGCAAAGAGACAACAACACAAGAAAGAAAGGACAAAAAATAGAGATATAAAGCACACACAGAGTTTAGCCCAAGTCGGTATATGACGCGTTGAATATTTCAAGTGACCATTTCAAAATATGTATATACATATATAGTAACTACTACCCACTATTCGTTGATTCGGTGTGTTTCTCTATTTCGCGTGCTCGCCTTTCCATATCGCACATACGCAAACTCTCATCTCATCGTTCGTGTCGTCGTTGTCGTCGTCGTTCAACAATGGAAAATACTTAAGGCTCGCTGCTCGATCCACCATTTAGCATGTTTATTTGTTGGTAACAAATGTAAAATTTTCGAGGGATGACAACGAGAAACGCGCGATATAAACTTGACAACATCTGTGTGATGGCACTGTAGAGAGGCAAAATACTTACAACAATGACCACACTACGATTGGATCGAGCCAGCGAATTCACCAATTCAAATACAGACACACACACACACACGTTTTGCCTACCCAACCTTCCGATTCAATTTATTTCACTTGGATGTGGACATAAGTGAGACCCATCTTTCTTCGAACAAAATATTATTTACAGCATCCACCGCCGCGCCATCGTCCATTGTCCATTGTGTGTACATATTCGCTTATTCATTCTATCATTTTGGTACTCATGTACAGTTCTCGGTCGGTTTATATTCGCTTGTTCGTTTGTTTGCTGCCTTCTATGCGGTTCGGTTGTTCGCATTTGCTTCGTTTGCATCGTTTCGCATTTATTTTGTAAGTGTGTGAATTTAAACCGTTTTTCCCGATTTTGAATTGCTTTTGGTTTGGACATTCGACCAATACCATGCGTGAAGATGATATTTGCCGACGACAACGACGACGATGAAATGCTAAAACTAAATGGACAAAAAGGAACGAGAAAAAGACATGAACTAAGAAAATCGATTTCACACAGACCACCGAACTCTTACATAAAATTTTCATAAAATATGTAAATGTGTGAATGCATGAGCGCACACGAACCGGTGGTGATGTTGCTCTATCTATCTATATTTTTCCTCGTTCGCTCCCTCTTCGATGTTGCTATGCCTTCGTACGCTCGATATCATCGTCGAAAAATCCAAATGATAAACAAAATTTAATTCAATCGCATCGTGTATTGACTTGGGTAGTCATTTTGACATTTTTCTTACATTTGCATTTCAATTACGACCGAACGACGATGGCGACACCAAATAGAGTCATTGACTTCGCAATTGATGTTTCATCGGAAATAACAAGCGTATTACAACAATTGCAATATGCGTTTAACATTTAATCCGATTTATCTTATATCGCTTTAATTAGAACCATATTAAAGCAACAATCAATAGCATATTTAGCTCGATAACGGTGGAACAACTGTTGATTGATTTCAGACGCCAAAAACACATTGAAACCAATACGGCTCTTAATTAATTCAAAATTAAACTGAATGAATACAGCGGGAGGTTCGTCACTTGTGAAAAAAACGGGTGGACCGGAGTAATTTCTTTTTAATTGGATTCATGTCACTTTGTCAAAGGATGAACACGATCCAATTCAAAATTGCGTTAAAAAAAATTTGTTTCTTTTTTTTCAGCCGCCACGACTAGTGTCACCTGACACGTTGCTGACACTGCGTTCTGGCAACGCCTTTGAAATGGCAACGCTTTTATGTAGCCTATTAATAGCTAATCGATATGGAGCGATGGTAGTGAGTGGATATGCGAGTGAGGTCGTGACAAGCTGCAATCAAAACCGTGAATGTTGTCCCAACATTCCAATCAGAGCATCAAAACAAACGACAAATGTACATATATAAAGAAACTAGTTTTTTTCTTTAACAATAATTATATTCATTATTATCGTTGTTTTGTCTCTTGTCGTTTTTTTAAGGAAGCAAGTTCGAGCAAAGCAAATGGCATGGATAAAAACAAATACGCATTAATCGATCCAGTTGATTTGAGAAGTAAATTTTTACTTGAAGTTGAAGCACGCAAACTGAAACAGGCAAATGACCAACGACGTGAGGAAATGGAACGTCAATTAGAAGAATTGCGAATTTTGGAAAAATTGCCAGAAGACGAACACATCGGTAGTCGCAGACATGCTTGGGTTGTAATTTTGTCAAATGTTGAATGGGCTTCAAAAAAATCCGCTGGGCCTGAACATGAATGCGATGAAACACAAGTTACACGACCATTTTTTATCGAACCAACGACAGGAGTTCATTTTTCAACAGATGATCCAAATTACTATGTCGTTGACAGTGTTTGGAATGAGGCCAACTACTATGTATGTGAAACTATGTAATTAATTTCAATCTTAAACGTACTAATTGGTTGCGGAATTATTGATATTAAGAACAGTTTGGCGTGAATCATGAGAGTTGAACGTTGCATGAACAACATGATGCGTATAACTATCATGATTTGGACTTTCTAAAATAAATTAGTACATGAACGATGCGTTCCAATTGATATTGTTGGTGTTCAAAATATTGCAGGTAAATTTACAAGATCCCGGTGAAAATAATCTAAAAAACCTTAAATGGAACTTTGAAGATCGGAAAAATTGGCAAACGCTGTTGAATGAAGATTCGGTCGTTGACTTTGTGAAAAGAAGTGAAACACCAGTAGAACTGAAGAGTGCAAATATAAGTTTTTGCGCACGATATTTGGACATGCCTATCAGTTGGGTGAAGCAATTTAGCGTATCGAATGCAGGTGAACATCCACTGATCCAATAATAATAATAATTCAATATAATCAAGTGTAAAAAATACTATATATATTTGGATTACAGATTATGATGAACGTTATCCGAATGGATGTAAAAAGATTTATTACAAACGGGTTCTGTTGGAACTGTTTGCACCATACTTGAACGATAACGGTGTTATTAAACGACTTACGCTGTATAAAAACTTGGACCACACCGATGAAATTACTTGTTGGCAATGGTACTGCAATCGTGAGGATTCACTTGAATCAGTCGAAAAGGACTTTGAAACAAATCAAATAATAGAAAATTACGCGAACGGTCGACCAGATTCTTTGCGCCGTAAATACTGATGACATTTTTGGTGTCCTTCACTATTGTTTTTTATTTTTTTAATATTGCTCATTGAACTCTTAGGTTTCACGAGATCAATGGAACGTGATGGTGAAAAAATGTTCGAATACTACGAAAATTCGCGTTTAGACGGTTTGATTTTACTTGAAGTAGCGCCGAACTATGTTCGAGAACATTTTGAGCACCGTCAAGACAGGTGATTGCTTTTATTTCAACACAAAGCTCGATTTAGATTAATATTTGTCATTGATTTTCTCGATAAAATTAAACTACAATACTTCAGATTTCTTGTCTACCGCGAGTTTGTGACGGATGCAAAGGGCAATAAAGACCTTCTTGTAAGTCAATTGAAATACATCGTTCGATATGAACCAATTTATTATTATATTCATTGAACAGAAAATCGTGGAAAAGTTTCGACGCAACGAGAAAATACCGTTTCACGAGAATATTTTGAAGCGCACCTTTGACATTGCAGAAAATAAGATAATTTTGCAATTTCATTATGGATACAATGACATAACTCCAACCATTCGTGTTTATACATGCCCACCGAAACCAAACTATGGATGCGAAATCCCATTTAGTGAAGATGATAATCCGGTTGATATGGTCCGTAAGAATGATATCTCTCTCTTGATTTCTTTTTTTGTGTGATAATTTGTTTGATGATTATTACAGACCAACAAATACGAAAGAAATGTTCCAAAACTTAAGAGATATTATACTCTGCTTGAACAACTCCGAAACCAAGAAGAATGTATAAAGTCTTTCGAAAGTCGGCTATTGCACATTGAGTCAACGATGGTCGAACATCAAAACAATGCTCAACATCCAGTTTTGACGACAAGCATTTATGATCCGCTCCGCAATACAATTTCAAGGAATAGACGACTGGCAGAGGTAACATTTGCTTTTTTATCACAAAAAAAATATTAAGACACATATTTCGTTCGCAAACTCTATTCATAACTTTAGAACGATCGAATTGAAAGACAACAAACATTAGCAATGACTTCTGCTCCGGATATATTAGCGCCATATCTAGTTCATTTTACGACAAAACCAAATGAAATCGAATCGTTGCAGATCTACGAAAAATGTTTAAATGACATTCAAATCGATTATACGGAACGTTTGGCGCTACTTCGACAACAATATGAAGATGTAAATTTCTACCACTTTTGCAATGTTTTGTTTGTTTTTTGAAATCAATCTATAATTTAAGGTATCGAAAGAAATAGAAAATCTGAAAAGGTACCTGGATTTGTATGAGGATAAAATCGATGAAAAGGAATACGACGATTACGTGAAACATGGGTAAGACTGAATGGTCGAGAATAAAAACCGCATTTGAAGGAAAACTGTTGTGGAGCAGGAGTTAAGCCGTTTTTTGGGGGTTCGGTTTTTTGGTTTTGGGGATTCGGCTTCAAGAAGCAAAAGAAAATTGTTTGTCTCCATACAATTTGGGTAATCGAGAAAAAAGTTCGATACTGTGGCATTGTTTATGACGAGGGTCTGAATTACCTGCAAAACAATCCCCCTGCATTTTTTGAAAATTGTAAATATTTGAATATACACACCCCAATGACCGGCAACGACAATAAAATTCTGTTTTCATTCTTAGTCATTCATTTCGATGGAACCAATATTCACTTCGATTTTAAATTCTGTTTTCCTTTTGATTTCGCAGTCTCGAATTGGATGTATCGCAGCGAGTGTTCAAGCAGCGAATCGTTGATATTGAAGAAGAATACAAACGAAAGTATAATGATGCAAAAGAGCAATTAAAACATGATTCACGCCTAACAGTCGACGTAATTGTATGCCTTGATGAAAAACTAACACAATAAAAACAACAACAGTATTTTATATTTACATAATTTTATTTAAACTTGTCTTAGTATTTTTTTTTTTTTGGAAAAAATATTTTTCGTCTATGTAATGTTCATTTTGTTGTCACTTTTTTTTCACAGTACTTATGGGCTAAGATTTTCTTTAGTTTTAGTCTAATTTATATCGTTCGTTCTACTGCATCATTGTTGAGATGATGATTCATTCTTAACCACATTTTATTTTGTTGTTGTTGTTGTCTCCAGTTTCAAATTCAATGTATGTGTATTTTGTTCAAAAGTTTCCATTTAAAATAGTGTATAGTTAAATAATGTATGCTATAGCAGCAACGATTTATTTTTAACATAACTACCAACTCCATCGGAAATATAAATTTGCCAATACTTTATCAATATTCGGGGGATTTGTTTTTTCTTCTTCTGGTTATCTCAATTGTCTTCACATAAAACAACGACTTAAAATAGGTAAAAATTTGATTTGAATTGGATTTTTGTTGTATAATAATAATAATAATAATAATTTATATATTCATTGAAAGAATTCGAATCGGTTATAATGATGTTATTTGCTATGAATTGCTTACATATGTAAAGATGTCAGCGTGTGTATTGTAAATAGGTTTCTTTTAAAAATAAAGGTAAAAATATGAAGACATTTGGTTTGTCGTGTATTTGATGGTCAGTTTGCAACACATTTCTTTTTTGCCTAACGACACTATTTGAATACAAAACTTGGGAGAAACTTTTTGATTGAAAGGGGGGAAGAGAACTGTTGCACTCAGAGAGTTTCTATCGCTCTCTCCTTACGTGTGCACAGGAATAATGTGTTGGTGTGTGTGTGTGAGAGAGAGTTTCGAGTGGGGTCGATGGAAAACGATTAAGAGATGTTAATTGTCACTTTAATCCATAATACATTTTACATTAGATTAGAGGCTCCCTTTAATACGAATATGATTGAGATTTAGATTTAGACTATGCTCTCTTTGTCTGTGTATTGTGGTTCCGTTTTCTCAAAGGTTTGTATTCTCTATTCATTTACACTGTCGTTCTAACATGAATTCAAAACCATTACAATTTATGCCATAACCAATTTGTTCATATATAATTTAAGTCGATTGACCAATAAAGCAAAAGGGGAGACAAACTTGTGTTCAATGCTGTGCGTTATAATTACCCGGAAAATGAGTCTTTAAAAGAGTACGAGTGTTGTTTGACCTCCTCTTTTTCTCTCTTCGCAGTAATCGTGTTGAAAACAAAAGTAATTACATTGATTATTGAATATCTTTTTAACTATGTCACGATTACTCTTTCTTACAACTTGTCTGTCACACAAAATGCCAGTTTGAACTATTCAACTCTATGAGATAGCAATCGTTTCACTTTTATGTCTCACTTTTGCTTTTTTGGCCATGCAATCATACATTTTATAAGATTTACTAGATTTTTTTTTCGGTTTAAGTCGTCACATAATCACTGTTTATATCTCACCATTATCATTCTTCACACTATATCGAGACTTATGGATTCACATTGTTCATCCACTCGAATTTCATTGGCAATAACGTTAAATGATTGATTTGTTTTAAAATTTCGTCAACTTTTAAAAATGGTGGTCATTTTAAAATGAAATATCCTTTCGCAACTACTTTATATTTTATCCACTTGATTCATTCTCGATTTTCCGTTTATAGTTATCGTCTTTTTTGTTTATTTTTATTTTCCCGAGGATAATAACACTCTGTGTTTGTTTCGTTTCACACTAAATTCAATCACTCTCACGTTTACCCAAACATCTAATTCATTATAATGTGTGCTTTGCATACTTAATTTCTTTGTTTCAAATAATTTTCATAAAACTGTCGTTAAATTTATGCCCAATATTTGATTACCACAAATTATCAATAGCTTATTGCCATTGATCCCATTTGTCCGATGCATCGACCCTCTTCGTCGAATGTAGCCAGCGTTAGTTTTGATAATTTGTTACTTAAAACGCCACAGCCATTGTTTTGAATTGGATTTGGTTCTGGAAGAGAAAGAAAAATGCCATTTAACACATTGACATGGTGACCGTGCGTTATTTTTGTTTTTGCATACCTTCAGCTACATTCTCCGTTCCATTTTCACCCAATTTTCGACGTCGCATTTCGGCAAAATGTGATATTAAGGCATCCATCATTGGGGCTTGCTTTGAAAATACTTGCATCATTTTCGATGTGTGCATTCCATTTTCAACGGCATCAAACTGAAAATAATAACCGATTCATTTCAAAAAGGATATCAAAAGGTACATGCGGATAGTATAGAACGGGTTCCACCATCTGGCGGAAGTAATGCAAAACAAAACGAAAAAAGGATTTTCCCATCAAAAGGATAGCTTTTGATAAAGCTTAAATGTGAACGATCCTTTCAAGTGGAGCACCGGAATTTCCCTTTCGAAAAAATGTTCGAATCCTTTTTTTCTCTCGATGGAGCTACTCGATCAAAGCTTTTCTTTTGTTTACCTGAATGAAAATACAGGGCAAACAATCTGGGTCATCTGTTGCACTCGGTTTGGCCAAGTCCCATGACAATTCGTCGTATTTTAATCCAAGCAGAAGATTCTGCATTTAAAGAAAATGAATTACATTTAGTTACCGCCATTCTGATGGTAATCACATTAATCACCATAAATAATTGCAACGAAAATTCACTTACCCCGTTTATGTTATCAATTATAAAAACGCCACGTTCGTTAATTCCAACTAAAACCGGTTCATCTTGTTGATTGAATAAACTCATAAGACCGCGAACGGGTTGCTCGATTTGCGCATTGAAAAAGGCCGAACTGAAAATACGTGCACGCACATATGCAAAAACCGATTGTGTTAATAATTAATTCATGGATTCAGGTTAATAATTTAAATCGTTTGAAGGAGAAGAAACACAAAAAGTGAAACAAATTAAATTTTGAATTGGTTGGGTGTATTCGTACATCATACGCGCAACCAATGCGTTCAATTTTCTTACCCATAAAATGGTAATGCCCAACAAAACTCTAAATATTTTCGCATTAATTTTCTAGTTGTCGCTGTGGTTGGCACTCGTTTATATTGTTCGAGTAGTTTTACCTCAGCGGACGTCTTACGGCTAATTGGCATCCATGACCAGCTTGTATTTTTTGCAATATGTGATGGCAAAAAGCGAAATTGATTCTCACGAAAATAGCCAATGGTGTGCGTGTGCATATTGTATGGGCCGAGTTCGATGCGTGCCTGAATGCCACCAAGCATAATTGAGTGTGCCGCCTCGAGTACATAACGACCGCTTAACACATTGTGCCTAGCTTCCTCGTACAACAATTCGATGATTCGTGGATCTCTGTTGTGAGTACAATGGGAAAATGAAACAAAACACAAACACAGAGACATAAGAGGTTGAATGGAACATGGAAAGCATAAAATTAAGTGATTAAATTCATCAAAATAATAATAAAAAAAATAAAAAAATAAGGTCAATATGTGGTCACTCACTTGATTTTCTCTTCTTCACGCTTTGAAACGAACACATTTCGTCTGAGCTGTATCATTGGTTCATCGTATCGTTTTTGTAAAGCGTTTGCATTGCTGAATTTATTCAACAGTTTTGGCCATGCAACTCGCACACCAAACGGTCGATGCTGTGGCTTCAATTGGATTTCCAGCAATGTAGAGTTCATCCAAAGCGAAAATATATTTTGTGCCAATAATTTATTTGATATACCAAGTTCTTCACAGCCTAATGCTGCAGCCAAATACACTTGCGCCGGACATTGTGCGGTACCTTCAATTTCCATATGAACTGCCACTCGTGACATTAGATAAACACACGTCGGAATCACCTGCAAAAATCAAAAAAAAATTATCGTTTTACAACTAGTTCGACGTCGAATATCATTGTTGGCATGAATTATGTGGATGACTGAGAAAAGGCTGTGACGACAGCAAAACCTTTCAATAATGGACGCTTTCAAAACTATAAGTCATCTCAAATTGAACATTTTTATCAGTTTTAAAAATGTTCATAAAAAATGAACTTTCATCGGTGCAAACTCCTCGATGGTACAAAAATTGAATTGAATCGATTATTGAGCGGTTCCGCTGTACTATTTTATTCGCACTTACATTTTGTAAGGGCCTATTTAATGAAACGGTATTATTTTGTGGTGCATTTGATGTGCCAGCATAGTAGTTGGAATTCTGTTGTGTTTCGGTCATTTGTGACATCATTTGATGTGAATGTGATTGATACGTGGCAGTGCTGCTTGTGCATTCCAGCATTTCGGTGCTTTGAATTTGTGATGTGGTTATGACTCGTTGTACTGTATACAAAACCGATGGTACATTCGATTGTTGAGGTGGTGGCGGCATCGGTGATGTTTGTTGATTTGACTGAAGCATTTGGGTCTGTTGTTGTACAGCTATCGATAGTGGCGTTGATATGCCAGAGTTATTATGGCTTGCCATCATTCCGGCATTAACAACCGAATCCGACATTGTGCTCGACAATGGAATCGGCGTTGATGCCAGCGTATAATAATCATCTCGTCCAGTGGCGCCAAAATAGATTTTTGACGGCCTAAAAATAAAACATTAAACATTGAATTGTTGTAAATTTCCATCAAAGACAACTTAAAAAAAAGTGATGATCAATTTTTGACTCACTGATAGTCTGATTGTATTTGTTGTGGATATTTCCGACGTTGATGATATTGAACGCCCATTTGCATTGGCACAATATTTATGTAGCTATTTCCTGAGTTTAATTGTGCTTTCGACTTTGTCAGTGTCAATTCGTCATTAGTATTGCTATTGTTGGTTGCGTTGATCGTTGTACCAATCGCTCCTCCATCCATGCATTGTGTACCAACGGAAGCTGTTTGAATCGCATTGGCACCGCTAACATGATAGCATTTTGAATCAATCGAATCCATTTCATAACTAATTCTATATATGTGTGTGTGTGTGAGTGTGGATTGGCGTTTCACGTCGATACCATCTAATGGTTAACGGATTTTTCGTCGGAATTTCATTGTTCTAACGCTTTTCCATTGATCGACACGAGCACCATTAGAAATTCCAACATTTTTCACATGAAAACAAAATAAAAAACAAGCAGGTACACTTAAAACCAAATCGAAACCAATTTATCACGTCAAAATCCACACCATCGACTATATGATGATAACACACTCGTTACACAATTCAAAATTTCATTTGAAATTTTATTCACGTCAACAAACCACTCACACACAATAATCGAAAAAATGTTTGCTAGCACAGTTGCATTGTTTTTGTTCTCGATATTCGTTTCACTTATCGTCGATCGAATTTTTTTTGATTTTTGTGTTCGTTCAATTTCAAAAACTATTTACTAAATTGGTTGTATATTTTATTTGGTAGGCAATTTATTTCATCTGTTTGGATAGATAAAGAGGAAAAAAAACAAACAAATACAAAATGTTAATCAACAAAGTTCAATAGTTAGTTAGTAGTTCATCAAATATTTCAAATATTGACATAGATAATTTGCAATTGAAATGAAATCCAATTTGTGTCAGAAACGCGATTGGGCGGATGGAAATATCAATACAAAGAATAAAAGAAATGTAATACAAAACAACAACAACACAAGTGACAAAATGAGATTTCCACCAAATGCCATTTATTTTGGTCGAAAATGAAGCACCATATCGAAATAGAAATTGGTGCACTAGTTTTCAAAAATGCCAACAAAAATAATGGATTTTTCATGTAAATAAATTATTCAACATAAATTGGTCACACTTTTGACGTTGACGATGAGTAATTTATGTTATTACATTATATTTCCTCTTCTTCTTCATCATCATCATCGTCTAAAATGATTCTTTGCTCTGCGCTTATGCACTTACATTCGATACATTGATTTACTACCCACTTTAAAAATTAAATAACATAAAAGACATCTTCTTTTTATTGCACAAAACTTTTCGTCGTATTTACATCGAAACTATTTGATTTACAAAATGAAAACCAAATGACTAACAATTGTTTCGTTCGCTGCAATTGTAATTTGCACAAAAATATTGGGCTGAAAAATATGAACAGAAACAAAAGAAAATTCGGAGCTCCCTTTTTTCTTGCTTTGAATAATCTTTTCTATATATGGTTTAAGTTGTCAAAACAGGCAGCAGCCATCATGAACTGCTGTTGAACAGCCTACATACAGTGAAAATTTCTCGCCATATACATCATCCGTTTTCCCCTTCACACACTTTTTCCACATTACAATTTTTCGATGGAAATTACACACTCGAAACAACCGAATAAAGAGCTTTTCTACGAAGGATAACACCATTACCCATTTTTGTTTCGTTGGCAGCACTGTACGTGTACATACATCGGAGAAAACTGTACAATGTGGATACCACTAGGATATTTTCTTTTTTAAATGAGTTTTACCTATATTTTCGCCAGTTCGACTTGAGTCGCGAAGAATGATTATTTGAATTTTTTTTCTATTCTCTTCTATTTTCAAATTTAAATTTGGTTTATGTGATTGAATTAATCCATTTTTACAGTAACTGCCCATCTTCATCTAACTACTAGATAAAATATTCAAATTGATAGTTTCCATACAAAAATGATGTACATCAGATGAAAATTGCATTCTTTCTATCCGAAAAAAGATAAACATTGTCAATGTTTATATTGATAAGACGGAATCGCGTGCGCCATCTCTTGTTCGTAATCGTATTATTGATAAAAAAAAAGCCCTCTGCCACATATATGCATAAATAATTTACTTATGAATAAATGCAAAGAATTGCATAAATTTCATGATGTTTCTTCGAATAAATGCTATGAATCTGTGATAAACTGGACGCGATCCAAAATAGCCGATTTAAAATTAAACTGCATCCGCATTCTAATTCGATTTGAATATGAGCGTTGTGTGCGTATGTGTGTGTGTTTGCAATTGGTTTTTGCACACGCACACATACACAAGCGTAATCACGTTTGTCGCAAGATATCGTTGTGTGTTGTATATCGAAAGACGTCTAGTCTGTCATCGCGTCTCGCAGAGCTCAGACGCAGAAATACATTTTTGCATATATCGAATTAATACGAAAGAGAAAGAGGGAAAAAAGACGACAACGTTAATCACAAAAATCGGTTTGTTCCGTGGTATTTTGTGTTCTCGCCATTCGGGTGGTGCATGTATTGGTGCGCATCATATGAGTAAATGTGAGCATGTGTGCATCTGACTGAAGGAAGAAAAAAAAAACGACGTACAAATATACATATATCGATATGTATGTATAGAGAGACGAATAAATTCGCTGTATCTATGGTGTGTGTATCGAAATGATTGATTGCAATTGAACGAGAGCTGCAGACTGCAAAGTGATAAGAAACGCGAGCGGAGAAAGAAAAAGAAAGAAGAAGTGTTTCATTGGGCGCTTTGTAAAAATGTCGAATTCCAATGAATTATGTGCAAGAAGCGGCTAAACAAATCGCACATACAATACGATTTAGCTGAAATATAGATACGCTGATCCGACCAAATTACATTTAAGGTAAATATATCCGTGCGAATAATGTAGCGACAGTTTTTCATGTGTGCATTTATTTTTATGAGAGCATTTGGCTGGGAACACGCCATCTTTTTGTTACCTTTTTTTTATTCATCTCTAATTGATGGTTTACATCAAAACATAATTGTAGTGTCGTGCGCGCGTTTTTTTTCACTCTTCGTTTTGCATTCATCGATGCTTTTTGGTATTTTCAAAAAATATTTTTCAATCGCATTTTATTTTTCACGTTCAATTGAAAAGGCGTAACATTTTGATAGTCGCGGTTCACCACGGAGACACCAACAGCTTGTTGGCATCGAATATAAAACAAAAATTCGAGTGATATTTTAATTATTCATATAACATTGAATCGTATGGAATATTTTAAATTATTACATTGTGTTCTGCCGTTTGATTCGTCGCGAGGCAGACTGTTCTGTGCCAGTTTACTTTGTGGATAATTTTCTTGTTTTACCAATTTCAGTTGTGTAAACAGCACGAATCGATCTCATATGATAGTAACTATGTTCGATTAAATAGCTCTCACGTTATTATAATTTCAAATTAATTCGATGAATTTTTAATGAAACAAAGGACTCGTCGAATTTGATGAGCGTGTGTCTTTTTCACAATACATATTCGACCTCTGGTGTTTAACAATATTTGATTTTTCCATTCTTTTCAATCCAATCAGAATCCCAATAAGACTATAATTAGAGTTCTATTATGGATTTGACGGAGACAATGAAGCAGGTGTTGGCCAAAGTGTCAGCGGGAAATGCGCAGGGATTGATGAATTCGACTGTCAACAATCCAGCTGCAATGGCACTCCTCCAACAGCATCACGCACAACAACAACAGCAACAGCAGCAGCAGCAGCAACAACAACAACAACAACAACAAAAAGCACATCCCAGCGATTTGCAATCGAATAACGGGCCCGGTGTCGGTTATGTTAATGAAAAACTTTACATGCTGCTTCAATTGTATTTGCAAAATAAAGGCTGGAATCCAAGTGTCGAATTGTTACAGTGTTTCAGTGAGCTAAAAGACAGTGCAATGTTGCCAAGTGCAGCTTATTTACAGTGAGTGTTGGCTGTTCGTGATCAAAATCGTCGACAATCCAATCTTATGAATCGAGTAAAATTCTAAATATTTTTTCTTTTTATTTTTTTTGTAGAGTATTGGCCAATCGATTATCGTTGGATAGCCAAGGACGTTTGGTGCTTCGTGAATCGGGTAAAATTGTTTTACCGTACGAACATTTTGCGAACGCTGTAATGTTGAAGCATATGACCGGTCCACATGGAATGCATTTAAGTTTGGATGCCACCATTCGATCGGTTGTGGAATCATATACGATTGGCCGTGAAAATTTTGGCATGGAAAAAGAATTTATTGTTGAAGTCGTGCAATCGTGTCCAAATCAAGCGTGTCGTTATTATAAAACTCATTTGGGCGGTACAGTGCCACCGTTTATGGACAGTGCTTTTCAATCGGCAGCTCAAACAAATCCAGATTTTTTGCAACATTTGCCACAGCCACCAATCCTGCCACAACAAAATATTCCATCATCACAGTCATCGGGAAGCACACCCAATCCAGGCATTATCGACATGTCACAAATGGATGCGAACAATGCTGCGGTGAGTCATAAGTATTGATCGACAATTTCTTCTATCAATTCCACACAAATATTTTTGTTTCAATTAGTTGATTGTGGCATATTTTTTTGTAACATCATTTTTAATTACAGCATCTATCATCAAAACAACAGCACAATAGCGTTAATGCTCAAAAGCAACAACAACGGGCCGCACTATCAGCTGCCGAAAAACACATGAAAATGGGACCAAATTCAACACAGCAAATTACAGCAGCTATTATTCAACAGCAAAATCGTGCGATTGCACAACAAAATTTGGAGAAATTTAATAGCATGTCGACCATGGAAAAGCAACGACTTTTTAAAGAATTTGATAAGAAACAATTTGATGCACCGATGCTTCATACGGATAATAATCACAGTCGGTCACATGGACGTAACCTTCAACCAACACAGCTACCATCTCGATCGCCACATCAAATTTTGAACTCGAATGCACCATTAGATCTTCAACAACAATCAAAACAACAAATTTCGCACAAGGTTTGAAAATGAACATTGTTAAGATCGAACCAAACCATATATATTATAAAATTGTTTTCTATTTGCAGCAATCACAACAATTGAATGGTGCTTGGAATTCATATTCTGCACAACAACAGTCGTTGCCAAATTTGTCGAATCGCACCGATATAGGACAAACAACCATTACACTTTCAAATTTAAACGCACATCAATCACCGCACACACAAGCGGCATTATCGCAACAAATTCCATCAGCACACAATCAATCTCAAGTTCCGTCGATGCCACCGCAACAGAATTATCAACAACAACAGCAGCAGCAGCAACAACAACAACAGCAACAATCGTCGATCGGCCAAGAGAATATTGTACGTGTTTTTGATGAACTAATGAAAAACATTGCGAGAATGAAAATGTTTGTTCGGCCATCAATGTGCAAACCATATGGCAAACAAAGCGAAAGCCTGCAAAAGAGTATGTACACCTAATTATGATTGAAAATTAGAAGAAAGAAAACAAAACAAAAATGTTGATTTTTTTCTCATTTATTTAGCTTTAATTGACACCATTCAAATCGTTCAATCGTTGCGCAATTGTATACCGGCGCCCACAATTTCAATTAATGCTTGGAAAAATGAAGATCGCAACAGTAAGTATACTTGTTTTATCGGTTTTAATCATTTTTGAGACTAACATTTGGTTATTCCAACTTTTCAGTTAACTGACATCTGAGTGTGTCCGATGACTTTTATTTTGAAGGTCAATCGGAAAGCTATCGATTATCATCGAATAAAAATTGACGCGAATATATTTAACAGATCATCGTATTGTACGTATTTTAATCGGTTCCTGATTTATAAGAACGACTCATAATTTCATTCTCCTTTCTGTGTTCCTTTTATTTAATTGTTTATTTTTTTAAGGTTCTTTTTAATCTAAAACTGAAAAGTATTTATTCTTTTTTAATTTCGCTAAAATCAAATGTACCTTAAGCATTGCATTTAGTTGTAATTTCTGTTCCTTATTTTCCTCCCGCCTCCCCACGTCGGGTGAATTAGTTTCAAGAAAGACTTTGATTTGAAAATTTTATGTTATGAACATATTTACGACTTACATAAACAAACAAGAAAAGATCGTTTTTTGTGATTAAGAATCACAATAAATTTATTATAATTAAATGATATCGAAAACATCACTGTAATTTTTAGTATTAAGTGCTTCTCCCATTCATTTATTATGATGTTGCAAATGGAGCGCAATTGAAACAAATCGCTTTTATGTAAAAACAAAATAATCGGAACATTTGCGACGGTGAATGTTGCTTTCGATTTGGATAGAAATAAAAATGGCGCATAATATGCCCAATTATTCCGTTCTTCCCCTCGTTAAGAGACCAGCACTATGTTACATTTTATGACTGTATTTAAATTACTTGTAAGTAAGCGATGGAGTGAATTAGAAAGCGAATTATTGCGGCAAGCACGCAAAATGTTTTGAAGAAGTCAATCGAGTTTCGATCATTCGAATTGCAAATATTGCTGATTAACTTGAATTGGTTTAAAAAAAATGGTATTTTAAGCAAGCAGAAAGACAACGTAGCGAAAATATAATCGTGATACATACAAATCAAAATGAGGCTATTTTCATCATATCGATTGTATTTTCCACGTTGGCACTTTCGTGTACTCTCTCATCAAATATTCACAATTTTTCATTCCAAATTTTATAATAATTTATTTAAATATAAACGAAAATTCGCCAAATTCAAAATCAAACATCACGCTCACAACTTTAGTCAATGATCATTTTGATACAATAAAAATTAAACATCACTTTTATCATTAATTCATTTATAAACTAAATTATGCATAATCTTAGAAATTGAACATTTTAATGAAAACGTTTAGAAAACAAATTGATACGTTCCGAATTGAATTTTGTGGGGGAAATACTGTAAAACCCATGCCAAAAATGGAACTTTTTTCTTATTTTAATGTAAAAAAAAAAAACAAAATTTAAATCAATTTTATTCGGCTATAGGAAAACTGTAATGTCATTTTTCGATTTTCAAGGCGCAAAAAGAATATTTATTCGAAAGCAAACGATGGCACGGCTACTGACAAAAAGAAAATATGGAAACGCAATCGGCAATATTCTGTGATAGACTCTAAGAATGAAATGAAATGAATGACATGATGAAGTTTGAAAGGTCATATTCCATCACCCGATTCAGTTTAACTGAATTATTACAGTATTGTATGTGTGTGTTTTCTTTTTTTAAAAACACTATCATATGAAATTTGAAAGTAACAGAAGTATTTGGTTAATTCCCTTTTTTAAACCATCGAATTATATTGATCATAATTATTAGAATGAAATTAGTCTAGATTGGCAATATCAAGAATGTGAAACAAAATTTAAAACAAAAAATAACGAATTCATAGTGCAAATGTTATATTTTAACGCTTAGAGAAAAAAAGTGAGGAGAAAACGCGACAAAATTTTCGCAATTTTCATTTATTTGTTGGAGTTGCCATCGTGCTGGTGCAATTACAAAGACAGCCAACATAAATCATTGGGAATTTCTTGCTTTATGGTTGTGTTAGAAAAGAGAAAGAAAATCAAGTAAATAGAAATAAGGATAAATAGTTTTTATTTCAGTAAATGCTCAAGTCAAACGATTTTTTTGTGTGTGTTTCAGCGGATAGGTGGAATTTCTTTTACTCGTTAGTTGTTTTTTTTCATCCTTCGTTCAAGTTTTGTTTTACATCATTTTTCCACATTGCAATGGAAAAACGTATATTTCATTATCGAAACATATAAATATCTCAGTATATCAGTATCAATACAAATGCGCATATTTTCGAAAAGAAAACTATCTAAGATAAACCGAAATAAAAGCCAATGTGCTTCAAACACACATCAATAACCGAGTTTTAAAAACTTAAGACAACATTTAGATTGTAATTTATCGATTATAAGAACATTCATTTTAAATCCATACAATTTTGTTCAGTTCTTTTTTAAATCTCTTGTTTTGTTTGAAAACAATTTACTTTGAACGAAAAAAAAGACGTTTTTATTTCTAAATTTCGATGAATGATGAAACAAATTTTTTATATGCTTAAACAAATTGCAGCTAATTCTTTGTAAATTCAAAATAAGCATTTAACAATAAAAAAAACGCAATTATTCAAGTACATGAATCGTGGGTCTTTTATTTATTTAAGATGTTTGTCCAAATTAATAGTGTGGCTCATATTAGCATCAGATTGATGGCAGCGTCCTTAGTTGGACCGTTAATGCAAAGACGGTGTGCTAGCAATCAGGACTCTGATTTTATCATGTGAAACTGTCAGTTGTGCTTTAAACATCAAAGTAAGTGCAAGATCTAACAAAAGTGAATCTCATTTGAGTGCCATTCATTTCCTGCAAATAGACACATTTGCATAGTATTCTATCAAAGTCTGTCACATTTAAAACAACTTCAAAATGCTTTGGCCGCAGCAGTTTTGGCTCGTGTCTCTTTCAATTGTTCTTGTGCTTGTTTTTGCATTTTCTCCAATTTTTCCAACGTAACCGACTTCAATGGCATCAGATGTGGTTTGCAATAAACGAAATCATTTTTTTGTTCATAAAATAATTTCCCATGATCGGGCAAAATTAAATCTACTTTTGGCGCATATGATGCGCCTGATACTGGCTGTTCATTGTAGGACATTATCTAGTGTAAAATCGATAAAAATTAATTATAGAAAATCCAAAAAAGAATACACATACAGAGTAAACATATATAAATTCTGTCTCTTACTTTAAATTTTAGTCGCAATTCCGATTTGGACCAACAAGTCTCAGAATATTTCAAAACGGAATTTTTTCCAAACTGATTTTGAAAAAAAGACACAAAATATGAAAAGAATATCAACAAAATCCAAGTGACAGGCGATTGTCAGCTGATTTACGTATCTCGCCGATGGCAACACCACTTCGCCGCAAAAACTGACAGCTTAACGAAATGTGCGGTTTTTTCGTGAAGTTTCGAACGAAACGATGGTGTTCACTTGCTTATCGTGCTCTTGACATGCGGTTGCATGTCTTTTACATATAGTTTAGCGCTAAAACATTGTATAAGATTCAATTTGTCGCGCATCACAGCGAACAGTGAGAGAAAGAAAGAACGCAGATAGCACAATTCAAAAAATCTTTTCTAACGGATTAAATTTATCGTGTTTGACGGACGTGTTTTATAATTGCTCCAACGAACAACGCAAATTCAATTCATTTCAACTGAAAATCAGACTTTTTACCATCCAATTATTGTTTGAATATTTTGTGTTTTGTAAAATAAAAGTTTCATTGACCAAATTCTACCGAATAAAATGGATGAAAATCAAACAGCAATACCATCGAGATGTAAGTTCTATTTTTTTTTTTCGATCGCCATTGTCTTGTACAATACTGTGCTTTATGTCGTTCAAATTTTTTTATTCAAACATTTCATAAATTCATGTCATTGTTTCAATAGTATATCATTTCTGTAGAATTTTCTCAAGACTACGCATATTTTTATTGCACAAACAGTGTGTGCAACACAATGATTCCAATCATTTTTATTTTTGTCATGTTTTATGCATTGTCATTAATTTTTTGTATGGATTTTTTTATATTAACAGTGACACGGTCACGTCGTGCATCGGTGGAAAGTCCTGTTGTTTCATCGCCAAGGAAGAATACACGGCAATCACGCAAATTAAAGAATATCACCGAAAAGGGTAAATATTTAACAAAGAATTTTAAGAAATATTTTCATTATTTATGATCGCATTTTGGTTATTCGTGAAAGAGAAAAACAAAATGTCTTACTACAATATTACCGTTATTCATGCTTTGCTATCATTTTTTCTCTTTCTATGCATTCAGATTCAGATGACGTCGACAATAACGATAGTGCAAAGAAAGATGATGATAATGATGATGCTGCAAGCAGTATTAGTTCAAATTCGATGAGAGGGTGCAAAGTAGTATTGGAACGTCAAAATTTCGATGACATTGATGCAACGTCTGGTCGTCGTGCCATTGCGCATGCTACACGCTCTCGTCGTAGTTCACAATTGACCGAAGAAAATATTGCTGCTCACTCAAATCCAACAAATCCGGCGCGACGAGCATTGCGCTCAAACAGTATTGCGTCTGATTCAACTGAAGCCACACAAACTTCACGTCGTTCCAGTCGAAAGGCTAATACACCAAAAGAAGAAATTGTTCCAACGACACCAGCACGTCGTAGTTCTCGTTTGCTGTCCGAAAACGAAAAAGCTACAGACTCACCGGCCAAATCGGCAACACCGGCCAGACGTTTGCGTTCAAATAGTGTAGCATCAGAAGATCATTCACCGACACGGCGTACAAGTTCCCGTTTGTCCGAATCACAAGTTGGCACACCGAAAACATTAAAGACCAAAGTCAGTAAAATTAAAGAGCCAACCACACCGCGTCGTGCATCAATGCGCATCAATAAAAGTATTATTGCGTCGGAAGTTATCGATGAGGAGTCAGACGAAGAAAATCTCGCAAATGAAATGAACAAGGTAAGCAAATCAAAGTCGCCATTGCAAACATATGTAATTGACGATGACGAAGATGATGTAACAAAAGACAAAAAGGTCAATGGTAAAGAAAACAAACAGGAAGTTCCTACAATAACTGTAGAAGAACACAAAATCGTTACGATTGAAGAAGAGCCAGAAGACATCAAACCCATTATTACTAATGAACAAAAAGAGACCAGTTTGATTGATACATCCAACTCAATCAACGTGTTAGCATCACCGTCATCACAAGTCGTGTTGATTTCCACCACAACCGCTAGAACACCAGTAGCACGTTCACCATTGCGAAAGGCTCAAACACCAAGTGTCGAACCAGCCGAACCAATGGAAACGTCCATGACGGAAGAAGTGGTCGGTACACCAAAGGGCACATCAAAAACAATGTCAATCAATACGCCAAAGGATACTACACCGAAAGCAATACCAAAAGGCACACCGAAAGGTATACCAAAATCCGAAGAACTTGCTCAATTGAATTCGAAAACGCCACAAGATGAAACGGTGTCCGATGATTTACTGAATGTGTCTGGCATGGTTAAGCTTTGGGAAAATAAAATATCGCCATCATCATCGGCCAAAGGTACCCCCAAAAGTAAAAATGTTTCAATCACAGATGAAGCAGAAATTGGTGTGGTCACCGAACCCGAATCCAATGAACCGAAACTTAATGAATCAAAAGGTAGCTCAACCGTTAATACACCACATAGAGAACCACGCATTACGAGCGACTTTGAGCATATGGATGATGAAAGTGAAGATGGTGACAATATTCAAACAATTCCAAAAGAATATCCCAACAAAACCACCGACAATGTTAACAAATCGGTGAGCACACCAAATTCAAAAGATCCATCAAAGACACTTTCACCTTTGGATGTATCTGTTGTGGTTCACGACAAAGATGTATCAACGCCACAAATGTCAAAGAAATCATCAAAACAACGTCAGTCATTGAATCGATCAACCGATTTGGATCGAATGGAAGTAAGTGTTTTAGCTGTAAAATCGAACGTTGAAAATATTAAATCGGCTACGCCAAAACAAAATAAAACACCAAAGGCTAAAAATGTTTCGGCAAAGAGTACACCGGTGAAGCTAAACACGCCCAAATCGAGTGAAAAAACACCAAAACAAGATGTAAGCATAGATCTAACCAGTGATGATGAAACAACAACTGAAATTGCGAAGGAAAAAACAAAACCCGAATTAGTGTTGCTTCGACCACCAAGAGAATCTACACTTGGCGGCCTATCAATCTCATTGACGGCTGCAATCGATCAAATGTTGGCTGGATTTGATGACACACCAACTAATGTAAGTTCTTCCATTGATGAAATCAGCGAAAGTGTAACACCATCGACTGAAAAGAAAATCGACGAAGATTTCAATGCAATTGCAACAGCGGCTATTTCCGAAACATCGAAAAATCAAACCGAAAACGTTGAACAAACACAAGATCCAGCAATTAAAATGGAAAAGAACGATACAGATAAAGGTAAAGATAATAGCACCATCATCGAGGAGTCTGTTGTCAATATGTCAGTTGTGAATGAAACACAATTTGATTCGGATGTCGATTCATCCATCAAACCAACGGTTGAAGAAGCCATCGAACCAGTCAAGGAGTCAATGGTCTCCGAATCCAAACAATCCGAATCGAATGAGAGTGAGTCTGTTAAACCAGTTAATGAACAATGCATTGAAAAACCTACCGATGTATCCAAAGAGGCAGAAATCGAAAAAGACCTTGAATCTCCTGAAAAAACTCTTGAAGCCAATGAAGTAGCTCACTCAATTGATAATGTCCCCACTTTAAAGAGTGAACGAAAATCGGTGCAAATTATGACGCCGAAAAATGATAAAAACCAAATGACAATGAGACGAGTCGATACACCTTTCCCAGACGAAAATTCAATTTTGGAAGCGACTAGAAGTCAGGAAAATTCCGAAGAAAAATTGAAACGTAAACAACGTGATGGTAAGTTTTTTACACTTCTTTTTTTCTTGAAGAATTTCTTAGCTTATTTTTTGTTCAACAAAATGACATTTTTAACCTTCACAGAGAATCGGGAGAAAGCTCGCGACAGTTTGAAGAAATTACAAGATTCATGGAATAAGTCGATTGCACGACATTCTCTGGATTCATCAAATCCAATCGATGCATTAGGTGTTGCCGATGCAAGTGATAAAACCGAAGAGGAACCAGTGAAAAAAGTTGTAGCACGCAACAATTGGGCCATATTGAAGGGCTTAGTGGACAGTGAGGATTCAGATGATGACATTGTTCCAGAGACTGAGGAAGGCAGCGATGAAGAAAACGAAGATGAGGAAGAAGCTAATGCATTTGTGGATGATGAAGCTGAAGAGGTCTTGGATTATGAAACGGGCGACTCAATGGATGATGAAGAACGGCGGGAAATTGAAGGTAATAACACCGATTTACATTTTTTTTTTTTTTTCTGAAAATAATAAAATTTGTGGTGTTTTTTATTTTAAACTAATTATTCCATATTTATGTTATTTTGTTCGTATTTACAGAAAATGAAATCGATTATGGTGTGGATATTGGATCCGAAGATTCTGATTTCGAAGAAGAAGATGAATACGAAGATGATGGTTTTATTATTTACGATAGTGATGTTACAGATGCAACGAACTGCGAAGAGGAGGAAGAAATTCCGAAGAAATCGAAGCTACGACGTCGATCTGCGATTATTGAAGAATCAAGTAGCTCCGATGAGAGCGACGATGAGCATGTGATCGAAAGTACAACTGAGGCTAGCAATGATATTGAAAGTGTTACATTGCAACAAGTGGAATCAGTTGTTGTGCTTGCCGGTGGTGCACCTAATGAAGCGGAGCCCATTGAAGGCAAAAAATTCGCTACAACATATTTGACGTCTGAAAAGGAAACGAAAGACATCAAAAATAAGTCCCAATCGAATGAAATTGACACAGAAAAAGAACAGGAAACGATTGCTGATGCGCCAGAATTGCCATCAAATAAAACGGTGCATGAAGATCAAGAAGAAACTTCAAGTGCGTCCAAAATGGCTTCCGAGGCACATGCACCCGAAGCAGTTGATTCCGATAGAGAGTCAGGCCACAATAAAATCGATAAAAACACATCATTGCAAAGCAAATCGGTTTCCAAAAAGATTGTTCTCAAAAAACGAACTTCACTACCTGGTTTGTCTGGCATTGAAAGTTTGTCGAAAGCAATCCGTAAGGAAAGCAATCGTCAATCTTTGAGTAATCTCAATCCAAAGGCATCAAATCCAACAGTGGTCGAATTTACAATGCAATCGAGCAAGTCAAAAACCGTTGAAAAAGAAAATCTCAATTTGAATGCAAGCACAAGTTCAAATGTGAGCCTGAGTCCAAATGACATCACACGTGCTCCGTTGAATATTTCGTCACAGGAAGAAAATAACAATCAAAAGGCTTCTAAAAAAGGTACCACATTCAAAAACATTTCTCATTAACTTTTGTTTCCTCATTTCATCTTTTTTTTGTGCAGCTACAATCGTCGAACAGGCACAAGAACAAGTGGAAAAAGACCGTGAAACTGTATCATCAACGTCACAGGATGTAAATATTCTAACTAAATGTTCATTTAGTCATTCGTAAATACTCATTCAATACTCTTCTATCACTATTATATTCAGGATATGCCGACATCAGTTGTGATTAACGTTAAACTTAATAGAAAGCGTAAATTTGTTGAAATAGACACTGATGTTGAGCCACGTGAACGACCAAAGGCGAAGAAATTATTGAACGTCATTCAATCATCAAGTGGTGCATTTATTGAGGAGCCGATGACACCCGAGAAAAAGAACAAATTTGGTTTCAGAGGTAAATCAATTAAACCATCTTGTCCAAACGAAACATTTTTATTTAAACTTTCTTTTTGTTTGGTATTGGTACAGAGGCACCAAAAACACCAATCAATTCGAGCTTCAAAATCGAAAAGCGCATCCAACTGGCGTATCCTGGTGCATCGAAGAAACGGAAGAGCATCTATCTCGATGAAGATTCTGATGACGTTGAAATGTTTTTACCGCGACCAAGATGGCAAATTAATACGCAATTCCAACACGAACAGCCAAAAAAACGAGCACGAAAATTGGATTTGGGTTCAACCGAAATCATATTGCAACCAGTCGCGCCGAAGAAAAAGACAAAACGAAATGTTTTGATTCCGATCGAATTGGCACAGTATCGCCAAAATAAATTGTATCGTGCCGACATTCCACGCCAAGATGCGCGTAATCTATTGCGTGAACGCCGAAAGCGAGTTGCCCGTTAAAGTTTATTCAGATTAAATTAAGCGTTGAAAACACTTCAAGATTTGAGAAGAATTTAATATTAAGAAAACAATTGCATTCAATATGAAATAATTGCTTCGCATCCTATAGTTTTAGTTATTTTTTTTATTATTGATATTAAAAACCCAATGCTGACTTTAAAGGCCATCAAGCTAGTGGGAAAAGACATTAAAAATGACACACACAAAAATGTAACATCGTTTTTATGCGTTTTTTTATCACGAGATTTTTCTGGTTGCTTATTGAAAGAAATTTAAGTGGACGTTTATTCGTTTTTCTCTCTTGCGAGTCCAATTTCTTTTAAAAAGAAAACATATGTCAAACTTTCTCAAAAAGCATATTATTCGAAAAAAAAGTTGTCAATAGATCAACGCTGGAATAAATGTTTCATTTTCTTTTATTTTTATGTGCCAATCTAATTCAAAGTCATTTTTCCTTTAATAATTACGAATTATTTGTTAAACCCATCATAAATGAAAAAAAATTGGATTACAGTGCTTTTGGCAATTTGTCATAGTGCATTCGAATAGACTTTACATAAGCGATGTTTTTGGGGTGAAGACAATATGAAAGCATTTATTACTTGAAAAATAATCAACAAAATGCCTTGTATAATCTTAACGGTATGCCAGTTTCACACAATTGACTGGTACAGTTACGATCTGAAACAGTCTCTGTTCGGTTTAATGTATTTTATTCTTTGGTTGTTGTTGTGGAATTCAATTTATTAGCGATAGAAACATTTTCGATATCGCTAGTCCTATGGAAATCTTGTAATGATAAACATAATCATTACCGAGACAAAGGTCACTGAGACACAATATTAGTTAAATATACAAATGTTAGTTATCCATTGGTCCATAAATAAAGCCCACTACGATTTCGTTTGAATTTTGGAAGCCAAAAATCAACGTTTTGCTGCAAACATGAATGACATATTTATATGTGATTATTTCTCAAAATGGACAGTGTGGTGGCGCCACGTACAAAATATCCCATTCACGTCATGTCAAACATTTTATTTCGATGAACTTTCAATCAGACAATGTTCACCCATTAATAAAATAAAAATTGATTTCAATTTATATTTGCTATTCTTTGCAATATTTATCTGTGCAACTTGATGTCATTGTAGCGATATGTGTTTGAATCATCGATGGGCAAAACCATTGACACTTTAAAACAATTCAAATCTGAATAGGCTTCATACTTCAATCGAACGCATACAGACAAATTGTGTGAGACAGCTCGAAGCAATTAAATCCAGATAGCGCAAAAGTAGTGATAGTTGTGTGAAGAAGAAGAAGCAGACGGGGCACAGTAAAAACGAAAGAAAAAAGAGCAATACTGTCGAATGCTGAGTGTCTCGCGAATAGACATCTTTTTCTCTCTGCACACACAAAACCAAAAGTGAAAAAAAATCACACTCGGTGAAAGAGAACGGAAACAATATTTTTTGTTCACTTTTTTTTTTTAATTGAACAAGAAACAACAACGATTGAAATAAAATTTTAATTGCAGTGCAATTTCGACGTTCGTAGACAAAGTTCGAAAGCTGAATTTGTGTTACAAACGAAGTGAATTGTCGACTTTGAATGTAAATCATAGTCGACACATAGATATATAAGTATAGAAAAAAATCGTCGACATTCAGTGCGAGTGTGTGTGTATTTGTTTGTCTTCACAAATTAAAAGAAATCATGTATTTTTAGTATACACAATTTACAACAAAAAAAACCACATGCACACACCAATAGTGTTTTGAAGTTCATCAAATCGCCTTTCGGAGGATCCGCAAGCCAATTTACAATAACATAAAAAAACGAAATGTGTGTCGCTATCGAAATAAATTATCGGTCATTAGAAAATTGAAGGAGAAAAAAACGACAAATGTTGACTTAAAATTCGATTGTGAAATGTGTAAATTTCTGAAATCGCCAATAAAACTTTAAGTCTGTGCGTGTGTTTTTTTCGCACGGTCAAAAATCGTATCAATGGAAAAATAGCGAACGGTGTATGTGTATCTCTTTGTGTTTGTGTGTGTGATGAGAGAAAACGAACGAAAAAGAAATGGAAAAAATCAACACATTCGTAGATTTCAAGCAGTTAATCTAATTTTGATTTTAAAGCTAATTCGTTTGGATTTGATCAACAACGACCATAAAATTTGCTCATAGAAACCACAAGCAACCGGAGAAACAAAAAATTCATTGGAAATTAGTGCAATTAAACAGATTACGTGTAGTAAATTATAATTCATTACCTTCGCTGGACAATCACTGTTGTGTATCGTATTACAACAGATGAAAATACAAATTAGAAAATACAAAGTAGCATCGAGTTTGTCGAAAATAGCCTTTGGCTTGTTCTTTGATTGTTCGTTGTTGTGTGTATATGTGATTTTTTCTCTCTTTCCCTCTCCCCGTTTCTGACGTATCATCGAGAGCGTATGCACCGTGTGTTATTTGAAAAAAAAAAAAAAAACATGTCTCTGGTGTTGTTCGCGGTCACAAATCGGTAAATGTGTCTATGTGTATTGGTGTGTCTATGAAGTGTATTTGATCACATACGGGAATGCATTTGTTGGCCATTTATCGGGCGACACAACAAATGTGAAGAAAAAAGTAACTTGCTGTACTATCTTCGATCGCTAAGGAATATCCAGTTACATGGAGACTTTGTTGTTGATGTCGTTGCCGTTGCCGTCGTCATTGTCCACGCTACCTTTTTTATTATTTGCTCATTTTTTATTACTATTCAAACTCATCAAATACAAGAACCATTCAACGTGATCCAATGTGGTGTGCATAGAAGTCAATTGTATTACCAAATAACATCAACAATTCAACACAACACAATACATAAAAGAAATCGTATATACTGAAAGTGTTTCATCGCTCTGTAATAACCGAATTTAACCATAACCGAACAATATCTCAATCATCTAAACGGAAAAAAAATTAACATCGACAGTTCGTGTCGTCGTCGACGTATTCCAGTAGTTTAGTGTTTTATAATAAAATAAAAGAAAAGGCATAAAGAAAGAACGAAAGAAAAATATCCACGAAAAAAAAAATAACGTTATTTAGAAAGGAACAAAAGGAAGGCGAAAAGTTTCGAGCAAATTAACCATACAAAAAGAAAAAAGAAAACACAGAACAAAAAAACAGAAGAAAAACAACAACATTGTGCACACAAAATGCCGAAATGTAGCCTGAAAACGAGATACATACCAGCCACATTCGCATGGCTTTTACTGCTTGGAACCACAGTCGCCTTTTTCTATTATCCGTAAGTGTCAATCAGCATTTTAATTGATATTCGGAGTTAGTGAATGTTGTTATGTTACTGTAAGTGTTAGTGTGTCTGTGTGTGAATGTAAGTGTTGTGTCTTTGAGTACTTTAATGGAAAAAACGCGAAAAAAGTGCAGAATGGAAGACATGCTAAAGACTATTTTTAAGGTATCCACTTGATAAATCCGTTGCGAGTGTGTCGATGACGCGCGCGCGCACGCTCCTCTTCTCTATTCGCCAAATCATGGATAAGAGCCCATTGTGGACTATATATTGTAACATTGTGCCGAACATATAAAAATGAATTCGTTATTGTTGTTGTTTGCCCGTTGATTTGTGTATTTTTGTGATTCTATCTCTCTCCCTCACTCTGTCGCTCTATTCATTCTTTATCATTTTCACAGCGATGGTCGTACATTTTAATGGATTGTTAAACCCACAATTATGCGACTAATTTTATACATTTTGCTTCATTCCACTTCATTCAATGTGCAAAACTATGTTGGAAATAACATTGTTCGTCAAAAGAAAAAGCAACAAAATAACAATGACAACCGCTGCAATTCTCTTGCACTCACTCTCTGTGTGTCAGACGTTCCGCAAAACTAATCAATAACAAAAGAAAGCTAAATGCGCTCAAGTGAGCGAATGAGTGATAAACGGGCAAATAATTGCATGTGTTACAGTCTCTTCTATTTTTTTTTCTCGCCTTCTCTTTCTCACTGATGACATCGGCTTTAGATTGTTTTACAAGGCAATTTTAGCCGCACAAGCGAATTATCGTATTATGTTCTACCTTCAAATATGTGCGCGATATTTTTTAGGTCGTTTTTAAGGACAAGGTTCGAAATGACTTTTTATGTCATCAGTCTTGTGGTATATTCTAGGTAAATAGCGTGGAAATGGTTTCATGTATTGATTTGTGTCTAGCCTCGATGGCAATTATTCCAAATTACACAAGTATCCATCAAATGATCGAATATCCAACGAGAATTAACTTAAAGCCCATCGTTAAATCAACAACACACATTCCCAGTGGATACTTTGATTGCCAAATATATGACATATTAAAACGAAGAAAGAATTTGACATAAATAAAGAAAACAAATATCCATGCAACACATCATTCATGTGTAAGCTCAAACGCAATGTATTTACTTTATGTTTTTTCTTCTCTACTCTATTTTCTAATAAAAATGTCAGTTATATGGTTTTTATTGGATTTGTCTTCCGTTCTCATTCGCTATGTATTTACATTTGACATCTCTCGTTATTTGAACAAGATATTTGAATGGGAGAGAAAGAGGCAGACAAAGAGAACGAGAACACCGTTAATCGAACAAATTAATTGCACTGTGAATATTTGTCCTTCCAAATAGCTGAATTTAATCAACGAAATTATCATATTAAATGTATTACGATTCAAGGAAAACATTTGGACAAAAAATTCATTTCAAATATGTTATTATCTGTATCTTTGAGTATAGGGGAGTGTTTTCGACATGTTCATATGAACAAATCATCTTTGTTTCACTAATGGTAATGAAAGTGTCATTTATACGTGTTTTTTTTTTTCGTTGTTTCTATTCTTTTGTATTTCAATCGCAACTGCGATTCAAAACAATGCCATACCATTATACCGTAAATGTGTCATCTATCATTTTATTGGTACAAAGGCAACTGAGAAAGAGTGATGGCTCGAGAAATATGTCAGTTTATTTTTCGTCGTTGACAATGCACTTTTTGAGCAATAAACAAAAAGAGTTTGTTGAATGATGACAATGTTATGCATATATATTATCTGTCACTCTCATGCATTTCATGAAAATGAGTAGAATCGGCCACCAACCGATTGTTTGTTACTCAGTTACTAACGAGTGAACTCATATAAAATTCACTTGTTGTATCTGTCTAATCGAAGCATTGCCACTTGAAAAATAATGTTATATAAATGTAATTCAAATGTTGTCACTTCTCATCGGTTAATGTGTCTTCCGAAGCCGTGCCAACGCACGGCTTGTGAATGAAATATATATACTTTTTGATGTCGGTGAATCGCACATACTCCTTAATTATGAACGGAAAATTCATATGCGTGCACGATTGCCTACAAAATGAAGCTCGAATTTACGAATAAAAAAAAATGAAAGCAAAAAGCCACCGTGAAACACGGCTAAAAATACGATAAACATGAGACGCCGTGTATGTAAAACATGGGCGCGCTCTTTTAATTTTAATAGGTCGGTATCTACTCGTGCGCTTACATCATATGTGTAGATATGTGTATTTTTCGATTCACACAGCATTTTGTTGTTGTTGTTGCTTCACTCCTTTTTTCCACATTCTCAACTGACTGAGTTAAATATTCATTTGTGCCACAATTTTTCCACCCATCGTAATAGCAAGTGCATCTTACTACTGCTTTAATCTCCCTTTGGCTGCTTGTCATCTCTGGCGATGCCATAAAAGGACTTAGCAACGGTCTTTCAGTTTTTCATCTAGCTATAGTCGATTCGCTCTTTTCATGCGAAAAAAGCGAAAAATGAAAATTCAAAACGCTTGACATGGAATCAACAAAAGTAAACTAATCATAGAAAAAGTGAAGTCAATAGACAATTGTTTTGAAGCATATCATATACACACATTCATGCGTGTGTGTGCTTGGATCGCTTCTACTTTTCTATCGAATAAGAAAATATATGAGTTTCGAAGAGAAAAAACCCAACATCGGGAAAATACTATCGTTTCAACATATCTCGGTGTTTCTATCTCTTTGTACGGTGTGTCGATGTGTATATCGAGTGTGTTGCGCGTGTAAGCATAAAGCATGCACTATTTGCTTGTTTTATGGTGTGTGCTAGAGATGTTTGCAAAAAGCGAAAAAAGATGTAACTCAAACTTATAATGAACGCACAAACGACACCAGCAGCTGAAGCTGTAGTTACAACAGTACTTATATACATTTCTCTCACTCTGCAATTTCTAATAACTAACACGAGAGTCTTCTACTTTGATATTTCTTCTTCTTTCTCTTTTTCTTCTTCTTTTCGGTATTTTACACCGATGTACAATGCACGAGCATTTCAAACAACACATTTTATGATGCAAATGAATGAACCGATTGTGTATTTATGAGTCGCAGTACTTCTTCTTTCTTTCTCTCTCTCTCTCTCTCTTTCTCTCGCACACGGCAACTGTGCTCAGTCACTCGTGTTTTTAATACATGACCGTAAACGTAACGACGATATATAGTTCGCATGTTTATGAATGCAATTTACACTCTATTGGTATTGACATTGGTTAACATTATGTCGCGCTGATAATTCAACTGAACTTTTTCAGAGTTCAATTTATCTTGAAGCGGTTTGATTTCATCACAACGGTGTAATGTGCATATTATATATGTTTTGGTCATGAATCACACATTATTTTATGAGAATAATAAATGTATCGAACGATATCGAATTGCAGTCATGCAATTAAACTTTTGGTTTTTTGATTTTATCGTCAGATATAAATGTGTTCTCTCTTTTTTGTTTTACATTTTCAATGTTAAAAAAACATACAGGGCGTTTTGCAGCAAAACAAAAAAATCATCGAATTTTTGAGCTGTCCACTTTGTGTGTATGTTTCTGTTGTCACCAAACCAAATGGTGGTTTCGTTGGACGTGCTCACGTGTGCGTAAAAAAGCGTGAGCATTGGGTACAGCAAATTTCTTCTGCTTCACTGAGCATTTTCGTATAATTGCCAATGCTGTTTGCTATTGAACTGTTTCGGCGATGTGGAGTGTTGTGTTTGTACAGTCTTTGTTTTGTGAACTACGAAAATTGTCGGAAGCCGCAGTATATTGCATCGAATTAATTCTCTTTCCGCAACTATTTCCCACACAATTGTTTTTTCTTTCTCAAAATCTAATTTCTGAAATAATACAATCATTTTCATTTTCGTTTGTTGTTCAATTTCAGATGTCAATATTATATACGTCATTATCTATGGGTACCTGCATATCAAGGCGTGTTGACGTTTTTTGTCATCGCAAATTTTACGCTGGCCACATTCATGGACCCGGGTGTTATCCCGAAAGGTATAGGTAGTGAGAGAAGTTACATCCATTTTTTTTTTCAACTCCATTTCATGCATTGATTTTATAATAATGAGCACATCAATCATAATCATTTCCATCAAAACAATAGAATGAATTAATTGACATGCACCGTGTAGAATGTGAATGAACTGCCGATTTTGTTTTTCTTTCTTTTCTTTAGCACCACCTGATGAGGATAAAGAGGATGAATTTCGATTTCCATTGTACAAAAATGCCGAAATCAATGGCATTACGGTGCGAATGAAGTGGTGTGTAACGTGCAAATTTTATCGACCGCCACGCTGTTCACACTGTTCGGTGTGCAATCATTGCATTGAGGTAATGCATTTTCCGATTGTTGTTATCATTATTTATGCAAAACAAATTCAAAATATATCAACATATACATTTTTTAGGCATTTCACTTTTGCGAATTATTTTTCACTTGGTTTTCTTCAAGAAATTCAAAAATTTAATCGTTTGTTTTTTTTTTCTCTTCTTTTTCAGACTTTTGATCATCACTGTCCATGGGTAAATGCAGAAAATTTTCACTTACTTTCGATCAATCGACGCCATATCGCATATTTAATTAGTTTCACTGATGAATTGCTCGATTGATTTTTATCGCTAACAAATTAATTCACTCTTTCTTCGAATTAATTTGCTGCGCTTTGTACAAAATGTCGGCTTTGTTGATTGATTGCATTGGATTTTATTCATTCATTTTTTCACTTCTTGGTTTTTTCTTATTCATTGTGTTTTTTTTTTCTTCTTTCCATTCGTACCAGGTGAACAATTGCATTGGTCGGCGAAACTACCGATTCTTCTTCTTTTTTCTGATATCGCTGTCCATTCATATGATGAGCACCTTTGTACTATGTTTGTTTTATGTTTTACATCATAAAAAACAATTAACCGAACCAGCATCAATTGTAGCGTATCCTTTTTCGTAAAAAAACATCTTAAAAATGATTCCCGCCATAAAATGGGAATCGCATTTTTAATGACACACCAAAGTGTGCACTGTTAAAATGAAACAAATTTGCGTTCATTGTGACGAAATTATTTTGTTGTTTTTCCTTAATTAAATTTTTTATATTTTCCTTAACCGCAAACGTTTCGATAAATAGCATTGTTTTAATTGCCATCGTAGTTGTGTTAGCCATTCCAATATTCGGTCTAACTGGTTTTCATATGGTGTTGGTGTCGCGGGGGCGAACAACAAACGAACAAGTGACTGGCAAGTTCAAAGGTGGTTACAATCCATTCTCACGGGGATGTTGGCATAATTGCTGCTACACGCAATTTGGTCCACAGTATCCAAGGTGAGTACGAAATGAAAATACGATATGGTTGTGAGTTGTGTCATTTATTGACATTGTTTCAATCGTTAAACCGTTATAGTTTGATGAAACCGCAAAAATATGCAGCATGTCGATCAACGAAAGAAAATCAAGCAATTAGCATTATAACAAATGACGACCAACAGAGACACACCGGCAACAATGCGGTTCAGCATTCAGGTATTTATGAGGTTGACCAATCGACTCAAGTGAAAACGTATACAGACCATGGGAACGGCTATGGTCAACGATCCGGCGGCACTACTCATTACAGCAAGGTAAATTTAATAAAATTCTTTGAATGCGTGATTCGAAATTCATATTCGAATTATATATTCAAAACGAAAAAAAAAACTACTTTGTTACAGCTTTCACCCGGTCGTGAATGCTCTGACACAGATATGGATCCACAGGGTACTCAAAGCCAAGATTGTGAGCCAACGCCACCGTTGCAACGGCATAATTCAAACTTTTATCTACCTCCGATCGAAGGCGAATCACCGCGTCACGTTCGAATGTATCACGCACGTCATAGTCCACATGCCAGACAAAGGTCACTACTATTTTGCTAAAAACAAAACTTAACTATTACATTGATAAGAAATGCACATATAAAACTCAAAAGAATATATATGAAACAAATCCTCTCCCAAAATACTAGAGAAACAAAAAAAAAACCTTTTTAATATTTTGCTTGTGTATAAACAAAAAACAATTTAGTTAGTTTTGGTACTAATGTAGTTCTTACTTGTTTTGTTCATTAAATGAAAAAGTTTTTAAAACATCCCTATTAATATATGTGTTGAAAAAAACAAAAAATTTACCCGTTTTTTATGTCCCTTTTTATTTATTCTGTGCTTAGCGCCATTTGAATGAATGAAAAACAAAAACAACAAAAAGTATTATACAAATTATGATTTAGGTTATTTTTTTTACTAGAAATAAAACCATTTTGCATGCTGTGACAAAACCTGAGTTGTATATAATAGCATTTTAGAGTTTTTATGTTTGCATTTTGTACATAAAACGTAATTTTATCTTGAACAAACTTTTTCTCTCTCTATCTATTTTTTTTACATTGAAAATTCTCTTTTGTTTGCATCTACAACATGAAACATATACACACAAACACACCGTGAACATAAAAAACCGAACATACACATCTGCAATATGTTTCTCTTTTTTATTTTGGCTTCGTACTCGTGTTCGCATGATTGAATTTGGTGGTCATTGGTCAAAACGACAGGGGCCTAGATGTAACGCGCGGATACAATCCAGATGCACTGTCACCTGATCAAATGATGAGCGGACCGAATGTAAACCAACCGGGTGCAGCTATTCGAATGACCTCGGCAACACCGACCATGCAACAACGTATCAAAGCATTAGGGGTCGCAACCCCGATTGCAATGTCTAGTCCTGTTCGAAGGTATGTCTTAACATCACTAATTCGCAAATTATCGTTCGGCCAAAAAAAAATCGGGAATGGGACTCTTTATTCATATACCCTTTAGTAGCAATAGTTATTTTTGTTGTTGAATATTTATTTTTGACAAAAAAAAGAAAACAATTTTTATATGGGTTTTTTTTTACTTTTATTTTTCTTTTATCAACTATTGATTACTGCCCTCCTGATCTATACAAACTTCGAATTATACAGATGGCCTTAATGTAATTCACATTCTTCTCTAAACGCGGTCTTCGTAAAATAAACAAACACATACACCAAAAAACTAAATAAAGTACGCTCCCGCCGTGACTGTGCACTTTTCTTCGTTGCAAAAAACGTGAATTACTCCGAATCACAAAACAATTCCAAAACAAAAGAAAACAAAATAAAAAATAAAAAATACCAAAATTCTTACTCACAATAAATCCGGTAAATAGAATTGTTTGCGTATCTTTTTCACTTTTGATTTTTCATTTTCTTGTACGCATTCTTCAATTTTATTTCTCTCTGCATAAATTTTGGCTTTATTCAATTATTTTCTGCAATAATAATTTTATATTACTTTTATCTTTCTATTGCAACCAATTTGACTCGTTTTCATTTTTGATTTGAAATTTACCACAGTTTTTTTCTTCACAAAATGATTTTTTTTGTTGAATTTGCATTATTGCATTATGAACAATGAAAAACACGCTTTATAGCTTACTTTTCTTGTACATTCGTTTCGCCTATATCGATTATCCAATTTTCAGTTGCGCTGTAGTTGAGTAGAACAAATTTGACACTTATAAGACAATCTTTTATTTGGGCAGCAATTTCATTTTTTGAATGTGTACATTCTGTTATCATTCTCTCTCTTTTTCGTTTTTCATTTTGAGTTGATTCTTGCGTTATACATATCACGAATGACGTGTGGTTTTACTGTGAGCATCAAATTTCAAACTAAATATTATCTATCGCTACCAAAAAAGAAGTAAAAAAAATAAATTCTGAAAACTTAGCTTCATTTTCCGTTTATTGAACCGATTTTGGTTTTGAATTTCATCAATATCGCGTTCACATCAGTTCATAATATATCTTTTCAAATATGTAAAATAAATATCATTTTTTTCAATCGAAAACATGAAAAAACTCATAACGACACACACACACATTTATTTTTATGTAAATTTTTCTGCTCGATGACAATCATACACACACATATATACACATTTTTTAGTGAAACAAAACTATGAAATAGATTGCATAGTGTAATATTGGTCGAAATATGATATACATACCGATAGAAACGGCAAAAAAATCGATTTTATGGTGGTTTGAAACATTTGTTAATTGCATTGATTTTCATAGCATTTTTGTAGATTTTATCCACACGAAATTCAATTATCAGTATTCTCTTCATGCTATTTAAATTAAGTCATTCAATTTATCATTTTAAATTTAGATCAAATCCAGGAACGCCGACTCAACCGAGACGACCTGATTTCATAGGTGTTAGCAATTCCAATCAAATGCCAAATAATCTGATGAATGCTCACCAACAACAACAACAACAGCAGCAACATCAACAGCAGCACCAGCAACAACAACAAATGATGTACTCGCATTCGTTAGGTAAACAGCATGAAAATCAAATTCCCGGTGTGCATGTGAATCGTCAACAGCACGTTCAAAATCAGTCAGTTTATGGCAGTCCACAACGAAAATTCCTATCGGAAGGTGAATTGGTGCGACAAGGTGCCGAATTGTCATATGCACGATCAAATAATACAGTAGATAATATAAGAGAATTAGCGAGCAGTCCACAGCATGGTGGGCATTATATGTGGAAAGACAATTCGCCCGGTTATAATAATGGACAACCGTCACAATTCCCCGGCGTACCACAAAATCAACTAAATAACATGAATATGCATCACGAATACATGCGAGCCGCACAACAACTGCCACCGCCCGGTCATATGGTGACGCAACAACAGCACTACGTACCAAATAACATGCAACACGATTACAGTGTTGGTCGTCATCGATCGAATCCGACTAGTCCGACACAACAACAACTACACGGGAATGTTGCCAACAATATTCAACGATTCAATCAAGTGAGTATATACGCAACTCTAATTGTGTGCTATTTTAAAATTGCCATTGGCAATGACATTCAATCTAAAATACATTTCGCAAATTGTTCTACGCTTCAACGTTCATTTTACAAATTGTGGTCGTTTCTTCTTAAAAAGGTGCCGATCACTACAACAGCTGGTGGTTATCATCCTGCATTGAGAGGCGGTGTACCTGTATTTCCACCACAACCCCAACCATCTCCGCAGGGCAAACGAAAAGCAACACCAACGCGTCCAATTTCGTTTGTTCGGGCACTGGAAATGGCCGATTCAATGGAAATGCAAGCAATGCAAGCAAACGATCATAAATCAAATGCTACTATTAAAAACAACGGCATGATTGGTTCAAGTGCAATAAATAATCAACAACAATCGAATACTCAAAAATCCACCACAACAACGCCAGATCGAGCGAGTGTTTATGATGTAAACTATGAAATCTCCGTATAGTCTTTGAATCGATGTCCAAATTAAATAGAATAAACAATTTTTTTGAACAAAATATATAAACAAACACACACGAATATAAGAAGAAAAAAAAACACATAGAATTTATTGAAAAGAAAAAAAAGAGTCTGTATGTGAATTATAAACAAAAAAAAAGATTAAATGTTTTAAATGGAATCCAATTCAATCTCGTGATCGTCATATAGCAAATAACTACACTTTCTATACATCGCATAAATCAATCACATTGAAAACCAACCAACCCGACCACAATCAATTGAGATCAAAATATGCCGATTCGAATCCAAGACACACCATCCAAGACTTCATGCATTATACTCATCACCTTCCAATGTCGACACACTCCGAACAAAAGTCTTCAGCTGTCATTTAGATTAAGTGGATATATGTAAAATAATAAGCGTAAAATGCAAACAAACGCTCTTTGTCCGAAGATACGCCAATCCAAATAGAACATAATCAATGTATAAAACTAATCTGGATAAATGTGAAATATGAGATACTAACCAAATCCAATCAGAAAAAGGAGAAGAACAGAGAATACAAAACATGATAATAGAGAAACATAGACACATTGTTTCATATCTTTGCAATAGTTGAATGTTCTATTCACTGTTTTTTTGTTTTGTTTTGTTTTTTTTTTGTTTGTATTTTGATGAGGCTAAAATCAAAGTCAATTTTGTATTGTTGATAGTCATATGCACTCAATGTCGTTTAGTTCATGTATCGGAAGAGAAAAAAAAACCGTAGATATATATAAATTATCAAGAGTGAAAGTTATTTGAGAGAAAAGAAGAATTTTTTTCGCTCTCAATTCATTCTAGAAAAAAGACTAATATGTACATAAAAGATTATAGTTGATGTCAAAATTGATGTTCTTAAAATGAAATGATATACATATATATATTTTTGTGCAGAGAAAAACAGAACAATTTAGAATTTAGTTCGTGTTTTGTTCCCTTCTTGTAGGTCCACTTTTTGTACCAGTTAAAAAATCGAACAGCGCTGGAAACAGCAATTTCGATTGTTTTCTTTTTTCAGATAATGTTATAACTGAGCGAATTGTGTTTTTTTCGTCGAATCAAACGCAAAATGAGAAATGTTAAAGAAGTCAGTCACGTCCGTCCGATGATCTTTCATTCTTTCATCATCCACAAACGATCACGAAAATCGTGTGACAAAAACATTCTACTAATACCGTTAATTTCTTCTTATTTTGATTGAGCATTTGGACTTGAGGCTAACTTATTTCTTTGTTAATTATTATTTAATTTAAAATCAACGACAATGATTCAAATGAAATCGCAAAAACAACAAATATTTAAATATTTAACACATGTTCGACAGAAAATGTAACGAAAAGAAAATTGGAACAATTTAGGAATATTTATAAGTGTTTAGTCAAATTGGTGTTTATGTTTGGTTATAATTTGATTTTAAGGTGCAAAGTTTTTTTTTTCTTCTATTTTTTTCCTTCTATCCTATGAAAGAATTGCTATTTTTCAAATGAAAGATAATAAGAACAAAAAAATTGACAATTCCGAAGACCTAATCTTAACTTTTCATTCGAATAGCAATCATTTATATTAAAAAAAAAAAAACATTATTAGAACCAGGGATTGTTCCTCTGAGGAGGAGGAGTGGTGAGGAGGAAAATGAGGAGGAGGAGGAGAGCGAGGAGGAACCTCCTCCTCAACTGAGGAGGAAAATGTTTTTAGCTAAAAATGATATTTTTGTGATAAAAATAGCCCTTTGAGCAAAAAAACTTTTCCTTCTCACTTGAGGAGGAGGACCCTCCTCGCTCTCCTCCTCCTCCTCATTTTCCTCCTCACCATTTCACCTCCTCAGAGGAAAAATCCCTGGTTAGAACTAATTAAAACACGAGTTTATTTACAAGCATTGCACTGGGATACTTTCAAGTTTCTACCAGCTGAATTTTTTTTGATTTGGTTGAGGTCAGACGCTATTCCACCCAACTTTAACTCTCATACAAATGAGGAAGTTGCAACTTACAATAGCACCTGGATTGAGACAGATATAATTCCAGTTGCCCGTAAATATATCAGTGTCTGCTTTATGGGACTAGATAGAAAAGTAAATAGAGAATGTTTTTTAAACTATTTAACTAACAAAATATAATATTTCGGCAAAATTTCGAGCTTCAAAATAATTGTTTTTTATTGTGATGAATGGCGTAAATTTTATGTTTCATCCATTCCCACCCTCATGACAAAGAAAACGAATTCGAATTTCGGGTCTCAAAAAATGACCTAACGCGTATGCATGCGACCAAATTCATCGATTTTAAATGCGATTTTATTTATGAATCGGAATCCAAGATTTAATCAAATTCAATCATACGACACATTTTACACACTGTTGTTTAAGTGCATCGGAACTTTTTTTGTATACATCTATCACAATCATTGAAATGCCAAAAGAACATATGTAAGAAATGTATGAAATCGAATATGCAAACGAGAAAAGCTGAACAAATGAACAAAAACCACTAACCCCATTATGAAACATTAACCCATTTTTAGCGAACAAATGTAATTAAACAACTGACAAATAACCAAAATAACAACCACACCACACACAAACTCTAACCACTGATTTTTTGAACGATGATTTTATCTAACCTCTCATACTAATCCACAATTTCTATGTAATATTTTCTTCGCCCTTCGCCTAAATAAAAGACCCCATGAGATTTTACATAACAAACATTTAGCTAGCCATTTACATAAGCAAACCGAAACAAAGAATTATAAAACATTTAAACAAAAAAAAAGAACACACACAAAACAGTGATCAAGTGACAGCATTGAGTGACATGACGAAGAAAAACAAGAGAATAAACACGTAGAATTTGTATACAGACGATAAATGAGATTTTCATTTTAAGTAAAATAAAAGTGAAACATAATAAAGAAAAATACATTTAAATGTAATTCATGATTTTGTCGTCCTTTTTTCATTTTTAGCCAAGAATTTTGTTACAGCATCATATAAACGGAACAAAAAAAGGTAAGATGTTGGAACGATAATAAATTACTGCAGGCTTTAACATAATAACCGATGATATATTTGTGTTGAAATGAGAATAAAAATAGAGAAACAGCCAACCCATCGATTTCCAACATGTTTCTTTACTAACTTCCTGATAAGACATAGTTGCGACGAATTTTCGCCATATTTTGTGGTTTTTTCTGAGATTTTGAAATTTCTAATAAAATTCAATGGCAACAACAAGCTCAAATAGAGAAACCTTAAAAATTGTCTATTTAAAAAGCGAATGCTGATATTCCTCGAAAAAATTTCTTCCCAAAGGTAGAAAAAATTCGGGAAAATTTCCAAAAAGTCCATTATTTTAGCTCAATGAAAGATAAAAATACAAATGTTTTCTTTCATTCGTTATTTTCTCTATGTCTTTTATTTGGAATTGCTTAATTTTTCATAAATTTTCTCACATTTTTTAAAATTCGTATCCAAAAACAATTCCACTTCATATTTTCTACATAAACGCAACCAAAAGAGAGGATATAATCCAATCAGATTTCATACCATTTAAAAAAATCGAATATTTTCTCATAAATAAAGTCCATTTGAATGTTGCTGGCAAATGAAAATGCTGTAACATGATGATATCGGGCAATACCAGGGATTTTGAAATTTACGTGGCCGGCGATTGAATGATGGAACACATCTACATGCACACATTCGCTGATAAATTTGACAGTTTCATTGCATACACGAACACAATTTTTATTTACTTATTTTGTATGGCTGCTGTGTATTGTCAGTCAGTATAGGCATTATTGCTTGGTCAAAGAGAAAGACAGCGCAAAGACATATTTGTTTTTTCGTTAATCACACATATTTTTCATTATTTTTCATTTATTATTGAATATTGAGCATGGCAACAAACTTGATTGTGCATTTGATTGTGAAAGCATGAGAATTTTTTGAAAAAAATCGAATGTATTGTTTGACTACAAAGATAAAAGTGAAAGAAAATCAGCGAAAAATTGAGCGATTGTTTTCTATTAAAGCATTTGATCAAAATAAACATAAACGCAGTTATGAAAAATGGCTCTCAAGAAAGTTAAAGGAAATTTTGAACGAATGTTCGACAAAAATCTCACAGATTTAGTACGCGGCATTCGAAACAATAAAGATAATGAGGTAATTAAACATTTATTCAAATTGGGAAATTTTTTGTATTCAGACATATTCGGCAATATGCGGATGCGACAATTTGACGTGTGAAGTATGTTAATTGAGTGGATGTGCTTGTCATTCTATATGTGACATACGATTCTATTCCAAAAATGAATTGAAATCAGAGTGAAAATGGTGTCGAATGCATATCAGTTAAAATTCAACAAAAATCAGTAAATTTTTCGTTTGATTTCGCTTACAGGCCAAATATATTGCGCAATGTATGGAAGAAATAAAGCAAGAGTTGCGCCAAGATAACATCAATGTGAAGTGCAATGCGGTGGCTAAGTTGACATATGTAAGTTGCTTTTTGAATTGTAATTTAGCAAGTGGTTATATATGTGTCGTCTCCATACGAGTCGTACAGTGTAAAAACATGTGCAATTAAAATGTACTTCAATGTGATACCATTCTTATGGGTGTTGTTTTTGTTTTCTTACATTCTGCTTTAGATTCAAATGCTTGGTTATGACATCTCATGGGCTGGATTTAACATCATCGAAGTAATGAGCTCACCAAAGTTTACACACAAACGTATTGGGTATTTGGCTGCCTCTCAATGCTTTCATGCCGATAGCGAAGTAAGTATTTTCTTTGTCCAGTGAATACGCCTACCTAATTAATTGTCAACAAATGTTCTATCAACTGTAATAATTCGACGATTTTGTTTCGACTGATTTTTAGTTGTTGATGTTGGCAACGAATATGATTCGCAAGGATTTGAACTCACAAAATCAATACGATGCTGGCGTTGCACTCAGTGGCCTAAGTTGTTTCATATCAGCCGATTTGTCTCGAGATTTGGCCAATGATATTATGACTCTGGTAAATATAATTTATGGCTTCAGTCTTACCAGAGCTGTTATTAGCAGCAAACACAAGAGGAGTATCCTCGCCTCCACAGTGCGTATAACAGCTCCGGATCTGGCTCGTAAAAGTGTCTGACTTATTCCAAGGCTTTGTCTACAGCTAAATGTTCACCTGCTGCTACTGATGGTTGCTGTTCACCGGCTTGTGAATACGTGCTCGGACACGTAATAGCGTTCTCTCATTGATTTCTTCACTCTCACCCAATTTCAATGAGGGATCTATATTACGTTGACCGAATATGTAGTCAGCAGCCACGCCAATCAATAGCAATAGCTGAACAGTTAGTTGTAACCAAGGTCTGCTCATTTTTGATAATTGAATTAACGCCTGAATTTTATAATTAATTCAATTAACCATGATGACCTTTGGCTCAATTGGCTGTTTATTTTTACACAGATGAGCTCAACTAAACCATACCTTCGCATGAAAGCGGTTTTAATGATGTACAAAGTTTTTCTAAGATATCCAGAAGCATTACGTCCAGCATTTCCGAAATTAAAGGAAAAATTGGAAGATTCAGATCCTGGTACATATTTTTGATAATTCAAATAAATCGGGAATTTGAATCCATAACAATACATTCTTAATGTCAATTTGTTTAGGTGTCCAATCAGCCGCTGTGAATGTAATTTGTGAACTAGCACGAAAAAATCCGAAGAATTATCTTTCATTGGCGCCGATTTTCTTCAAACTCATGACAACATCAACCAATAACTGGATGCTTATAAAAATCATAAAATTGGTGAGTTTACCGATTTTCGGTTGTGTTCTCAGCTTTGATTGTCTTTTCAGTCTATAAATGTGTTTTTCAATTGAATCTGAAGTTTGGAAGGTTTACAGCGATCGAACCAGAGCTTGGTCGTCGTCTCGCAGAACCGATTATCGATATTATCACAAGGTTTTACCAATATTTATCAAAAAAAAAAAAAAAACAATTGTTGTTGATGCATCTACAGTATACCCATCAATAGTTCTATCCGATGCAAAATTGTGTTTAGCTCATTTCTGTTCGATTTCACCAATATTTATGTATATTTAATTTATTTTCGTTTGATTATTACATTTGGCTTTTTTTTGTTGTTGTTGTTTACAGTTTGGCGCATTGACTCCATTAGAACCACGCTTAGGAAAGAAATTAATAGAACCGCTTACCAATCTTATTCATAGGTTTGGCTAAATTCCATTTCATTCCATCACATTTTACTCACTTTGGCACAGGTGAATTGATTGAAACTAATGCAATTTTTTTCTATTTTGATTTATATTTACAGTACATCGGCTATGAGCTTACTATACGAATGTATAAATACTGTGATTGCAGTTTTGATAAGCATAAGCAGTGGCATGCCAAATCATACGGCATCGATTCAATTATGCGTCCAAAAATTGCGAATACTCATCGAAGACTCCGACCAAAATTGTATGTCTTTTCGTTCATTGTTCGTTACGTTTTTCTTTTCAATAAACCTGTTTTGTTGCAGTAAAATATCTTGGCCTGTTGGCAATGTCCAAAATTCTGAAAACACATCCGAAAAGTGTTCAAGCGCACAAGGATTTGATACTAGCTTGTTTGGATGACAAAGATGAATCGATTCGCTTACGAGCTTTGGATCTACTGTACGGCATGGTGTCAAAGAAAAATCTTATGGAAATCGTTCGACGATTATTGGGCCACATGGAACGGGCCGAAGGTTCAAATTATCGAGATGAACTATTGTTCAAAGTCATCGAAATTTGTTCACAAGGCTCTTATCAATACGTTACGAATTTTGAATGGTATCTCACTGTTTTAGTGGAATTGATTCAATTGGAATCCGGTTCCAAACATGGTGAGTGACCGAATAAATGAAATTTTCAGCCAATTTCGAAAGGAATAAAATAAAATAAAAAAAACTTCCAGGTGGCGTCATTGCAACTCAACTCCTTGATGTGGCAATCCGAGTTCAAGCCGTTCGAACCTTTGCTGTATCCGAAATGACATCGTTGCTGGAAAGTTTCCCGACTACATGTCAAAACGACTCAATGTACGAAGTACTGTACGCTGCTGCTTGGATTGTTGGTGAATTTTCAAAGTACGTGAAACTCTTGAATCAACTAACGAAATAAAAGAAACTAATTAAAATTACCTTTAATTTTCAGTGAATTAAATGAGCCGGAGAATACGTTGCACATATTATTGAAACACCGTTCGTTACCTGGCCACATACAGGGAGTTTATGTGCAAAATATTCTGAAACTGTTTACACGTATCATGACCGGATTGCTGGAGCGAAATGACGTTAATCAAATAGTGTCGTTGTGCAATTCGTTGTTGAAAAAGTTGCCCGCTTTCATCAGTTCCGGGCACATCGAGGTACAAGAAAGAGCCAGTTCAGCGTATGTTCTTGTTCAAATGTTGCGCGAACAATTCCCATCAAACGACGCACCCGATGCTGACAGCATGTTAGTGATGACCGAACAACCAGAAAGTCCTAAAGAAGAAGAAGATGATACACAAACCATTCCGATCGGTGCAATTGAAATTGTTCAAGAGATGGCAGTATTATTTGCTGGCGATCTGAATCCAGTTGCTCCGAAGGCACAGAAGAAAGTACCATTGCCCGATGGTTTAGATTTAGATGCATGGATCAATCCACCGCCGTCGGAAAGCAGTGATTCCAGTGATGAAGAACAAACCGATTTGTTTATTGCAAACGATGATGGGGAACAACACAAACGACCAGTTAAATCAGAGCTTACACCGGAGGAAATCGAACAGGTGAGAGATCATATTTGGAAAGATTTGTGAAAATTTAATATCATTTGAAACTAACGATGCGTAAATTTTTAGATGCGAGAGGCACGCCGCATTGAACAGAGTCACAATCCGAATTATTTGAAATCAAAAACAACGAAAACTAATAAGATTGAGGAACAAAAAGACACTATGGAAGATATTCCAATACAAGAGATTAGGCTTGATGTTCCACTACAAATAACGTGTAAGTATTCACTTTTTTTTGTAATTACAGTGAAACGGTGGCCCTCGATTGTAAAAATCCATTTTTTATCCCTTTGATTAGCAACAAAACGTTCGGATAAATATCTGGATGAACAAAAGAAGCGGAGTAAAAAAGAGAAATCCCACAAAAAGAGCAAAAAGAACAAAAAGTCAAAGCACAAGGAAATCAGCACCGAATCTGAAGAAGGTTTGTTTTTGTTAATTACCTGAACTCAAAATTACACTACATTTACATGTGAATTGATCCGATTTTTGTTCGCAGAGCCTGAACCATTGCACGTAGTTAGTTCGTTTATTGAGATGCCGGAAGGAGCTAGCGTTTCCGATACCGAGGACAAAGATAAAAATGATGCGGACGATCCACATCGAGCGCTTGATATTGATTTAGATATGTGAGTACAAAATTGGTGTGATTTGGTGCATTTTCAAATAAACTCATTTATCTCGTTCTATTCTCACAGACCGCTTCGTGGCGATGAAGTTCTACCGAAACAAAGTTATTCTAAGGTAATTAAAGACGCATCTCTGAAGACAACCCCAAATAGTCATGAACCGAAAGAGACCGACGAAAATAAGTCCAAATCAAAGAAATCAAAAACGCACAGCAGCTCTAAAACAAAAGAGAAATCCAATGAAAACAACGAAAAATCCGGCCACAAAAAGAAGAAAAGTAAAACGACCACAATCACTGAAAATGGCGAAGTTAATTTATTGGGAACGCCAGTAAAGGAATCGAGTAAAAAGGAGAAGAAAGAGAAAAAGGAGAAAAAATCATCAAAAAGCAAAAAATCAAGTGTCGGCGAATCTAAGTCTGGTTATGAAGAGGCTTTGGGTATTTCAACTCCTAGTAAAGAGGTCTATTGAACAAATTTAGCTGAATATATCATGCCGTTATGCGATTAATCAAAATCAAATAATTTTGAAAAGGGAAAACGTAAGAAATGTTTGTAAAAAATGTGATTGAAATGACTTGAAAAGCGTCGTCGTTAAATTAGAATCCGATTTTTTTTTCTAAAAAGAATATTTGTAGCCATCTGGAGTTTCGGCAAAAACCACGACACATTTAACGATAAAAAAACAATTCCATGCCTTCCGAATTGAATAACGCATCAAATGCCTATCAATTTCAGTAAACCAATTTGTTGGCAAATAAAATTAGATTTTTTTTCTGTTTTATAAAATTATGATTTTGCACTAGACTCTGTACCACGACTATGTTTTTGGAATATGTACAATTTTTCGTCATCTGTCGTAGTACATTTCCAATGTGATTATCTTTTTTTTTTGATAACGGAAAAATTGTTCAATTGAAATCAAGCGAACGAAATATTCTAGTGATGGAATTTAGTCCGATAAGTTTCTGACAGTCTATGTATTTCGGATGGATATCCATCCGAGATATTTTAGAATATCTGGAAATTTAACGCAAGTGCACAGAATCAGAGCTGTGTGCGTCGCACATATAATCTACGGTATGTCGCTACACGTAAAATACAGACACAGTGTGACTGTGTACGTGCGACACTTGATACACATATACGTCGCGACATACCGTAGATTCTATTTGCGATGCACACAGCTCTGACGCTGTGCAGTTGCGTTGAATATCCAGATATTCTAAAATATCTCGGATGGATATCCATCCGAAATACATAGACTGGTTTCTGATTAGAGTATTACAAAGAGTTGATAGTTAATACGAACAAATAAAACACACAATTTGCAAGCTTTTCGGCCCATGGAATTAACTCAGAAAAGAAATAAACAATGAACCCATCATATAATGATTATTTTTAGCCGATTTCTATCCCATTCTAATCCAAAAATGAAATTCCATATCTCTATTTTAATTTTGCTGCACTGTAACACTCAATAAAATACACACATTTCGTTAATAAAAAGAAAAGAAACTATAAACAATGATTTTTGAATGATTTTTTTTGTAATTGTTGATTGTATTTGAACCACGAAATTCGATCGATTTGTTGAGTTTTAGTTCCAATTAATCAGAAAAACACACATGATTTGCATTAAGGTTTATTATCGTTTTTTTTCTTTTTATTCTCTTTTTCGACAAAGTTAAAGACATTTTTTTATACATTTCTGTTATATAATGATAAAACAAAAATCAATTAATCCCAAAAACATGTATGACTTTTTGGATGTGATTGACAACATGCGGTTCCGTAATTCAACCGCTAAAGACAGGGGTCTGTGTTTGAGTGTCCCATATTTAATACCAGAATGGATGATAAACTTTAAAGAACCTTGTACACTGAATGAGACGTCTACATAAGTCAAATGTGGATTACAATGTGAGTGAGAGAGGCAAACACATAAAAGGCTCACTTTTTATACAAACTTCTTTGGGTATTATGGAAGGAGAAGGATCTGCGCTACAACAAAATAGTAGCAAATATTCAAAACGACTCACATTTTCGGTCGCTCACGAAACAAAATGATCAAACAATTATTGTTTCACAGCTTCACAGATTAACAGAGTACTCTACTCTAAAAAAACACTAAAAATTTACATACTTTTTTCTCTTTATTCTGACTTTCGACAATGTTTATGTTCTTTGTTTTATACATTTCTGTTATACAATGATAATGCAATATATCTTAACTCGTTACATAGTCAATACATTTAAAGATATTCAATTACTTGGTTTCAACAAATTAATCCAAAAAAAGTGCATGATTTCTTTTCAATGCGATCGACAACATTCGGTTTCGTAATTCGACCGCTAAAGACAGGAGTTTGTGTTTGCGTGTCCCATATATAATACAAGAATGGATGATCGACTTGAAATTTCGGTATTATAGGGGGAGGGGGATTTGCGCTATATAAATGAAATACGTTCAAACCTTCAAAGATAATAAGAGTGTCAAATAGTTTATTTGAATTTAAAATAGATATTTAAAAGTCTTACTTGTAGCAGATGCTGCTTCTGCACCTTCTTCGTTGATTTCTATGTAAGCTTTATGAAGTACCTCCGATACATAAAGTTGCTCCTTGGATTCCAAAAGACCACTCAAATTAGCGTTTTCTTCATCAAACATCTCTTTCATTCCCAACTACGAAATCAAGTTATTTAAAATGCTTCTTGTTATTAGTTTACTCCAAAAAAGGTGTTTTTCATTACATACATTTTTTAATATGTCGTTTAAATTAATTTCAAAGTCAACCTTAAATTTGGGCAATATCACCTCGTAACCACGATCATAGGGACTAAAATCGCCAGCCAGCTTTGTCAAATTGTAATTGCTCAATTTACCTTCCAATTTTGATAAACCTTCTCTTTTATGCGGTAAGACGATCACAAATGATAATTTCGAATTGGCATATTTCAGTTCTAGCGAAGTGGCATCTAAGTCATCAAATTCTCTCAATCTGAAGTTACTTGTAACATGCATAAAATCAGCCGACACTGTTTTTGTTTCACTAATATAAAAATCATCCACTTCTGTGAGTGTTTTATCAAATTTATAGAGCCAGTCGCCTTTGAAGTAGTTGGCATTCACCAAAACGACACGAGTTTTATTATTTATATTATCCTCTTTGACGAGATCTTTTATCTTATCATTTGTTTTATTTTTGACGAAATTATTGATCTTTTGTGCAGCTTCGATGTGCTTGTCAAAGTTTATAGGCTCGATTCCCGCTGAGAATTTTTTAATTGCCACTTCCTGAAAACTTTTATTCAACTTATAGTTTTCATTCACAT